GAGATGGCTCAACCTCACCAACCTCCCAGACCGGGAAAAGGAGGATGTGCTGGATATGCCCATCGTTCCCGAGGGAATTTTCGGCTCCGCTCTTGCTTCCATGCAAAGGAGGTGTGAGTCGAAAAAGAAGGAGGACGAGGCACTCCACCTCTGCCTCCCTCGAAGGGTCCAGCCGCTGCCTTCGCAGCAGCATTCCTTCGCCCAAGCTGCCTCGATCCCTGCTCGGTTTAAAACACCGAAAACGCAGAGGTCGCAGCCCGCCCCGAGTCCCCAGCCCAGGCTGGAGACGAGGGCGAGCTGGCCTAGAAAATCTCCGGTTCCGGCTGCAGCTCAGGCGCAGCCAACCCGGAATTTCGGCCAGCAGTCGAGGAAGAAGAAGCGAGCGGCGTGACAGCCCCTCCTTCTCCCCTCTGTGACAGAGCTGGAAGTCCACGGTTCCCCAGCTCTAAATGTGTTCCCGCCGCCTCGAGAGATGCCTCAACACCATCCTCAAGTCCGCACAAACACGTCACACATTTGTTGATTTTTCTGTCATAAAACATTTGCCGCTGACGCATCCAGGCTTCAGGCCGAGGGCGCAGCTCAAAAAAATTATAAGAAAAACAATAAAAACCAATAAACAGCCCGTCAACTGTTCCCCTTCTGAGAGCAGCTACGGCATCTCTCAAAAGGCGGATTACAGGCGGGTCTGTGAAGGCACCACCGCCACGCGCATGCGCAGTGCCGGCTGGGGCTTTAAAGGCACCACCGCCACGCGCATGCGCAGTGCCGGCTGGGGTTGTGAAGGCACCACCGTCATGCGCATGCGCAGTGTCGGTGGGGATTGTCGAAAAGGGGCACCACTGTGTTCAGACACTAGAGGGCCCCATAACACAACAAATAGAGACTCAGAGGGGAAGAGACGTGACATCTCCACTGGCTCTAAGGAGCATGCAGTGGAAGATGCTCACATCATCTGCTTGGGTTTTCAAGACAGTAACACGGGGCTACAGACTCCAATTCGCTGTCACCCCCCCTCGCTTCTCGGGCATTCTGCATTCGCAGGCCCGAGGAGAGTCAGCCCATATTCTGGAGAGAGAGATTCTCTCTCTCCTAGAAAAGAGGGCTATATCTATTGTACCCGCCGAGCAGAGTCAGGGCGGCTTCTATTCCAAGTACTTCCTCGTTCCCAAACGAGGAGGGAACGGAATTCGGCCAATACTTGATTTGAGGGCTCTGAACAAATATCTAAAAAGATATAAGTTCAGAATGCTCACTCACACATCTCTGCTGCGGCTCGTGCGACAAGACGACTGGTTTACATCAGTCGACCTGAAAGATGCGTATTTTCACATCTCAGTATATTACCCACACAGGAAATATCTGGGATTCGCATTTCAGGGGATCTGTTATGAATACAGAGTACTCCCCTTTGGTCTGTCTCTCAGTCCAAGGGTGTTTGTACGATGTACGGAAGCCGCGATAGCCCCGTTAAGACAACAGGGTATTCGCCTGGCGACCTACCTGGACGACTGGCTGCTTCTCGCACAGTCGGAGCAGGAGGCTGTTACGCAGACAAATGTCCTCGTAAAGCACCTGCTCAACCTGGGTTTCATAATAAACACAGAGAAGAGCATGTTGTGCCCAGCGCAGACTATACTCTTCCTGGGTTTACGCCTGAACTCGGTGCCCTTTTCAGCTCGCTTGTCAGCGGAAAGAGTGAAAGCTTTCAGAGCTTGTCTCGCTCTTTTCCAGCTGCGCAAACATGTTCTCTTCAGATCATGCCTGCGATTGCTGGGGCTCATGGCGTCAGCCATCCTGGTCGTACGACTGGGACGCTTACACATGAGGGAGTTTCAGCGCTGGGTGGCCGCCCTAAAACTAAACCCCGCGCGGAGATTGATGGTTACTGTGAAATGCGTAATGGCACTGCGCCACTGGCTGCACCCGACTTTTCTAGTACGAGGTGTGCCTATGGGTGCTGTCTTTTCACGGAAAGTGGTCACCACGGACGCATGTCTGACAGGTTGGGGAGGTATTTATGAAGGTCGCCCGGTGAGGGGTCTCTGGAGCAGAGACCTCCAGCGGGCGCACATAAATTACCTGGAGCTTTTAGCGATGTTTCTCACTCTAAAACGCTTTCTGCCTTTCCTCAGGGGACATCACGTCCTTGTGAGGACAGACAATACGACCACAATATCGTATATTAACCGCCAAGGGGGTTTGCGTTCTCTCCAGTTACACACACTGGCGCGCAAACTGATCCTATGGAGTGGTAGACGTCTCCTCTCTCTGAGAGCGACGCACGTACCGGGAGTGATGAACCTCGGGGCAGATCTACTGTCCAGAGGTATACCACTTTATGCAGACTGGACTCTACATCCAAGGATTGTGAGCCAGCTGTGGGTGTGTTACGGCAGAGCCGCGGTGGATCTGTTCGCATCGAAAGACAACGCTCAGTGTCAGCTGTTATTTTCGATGCGCGATCTAAATGCACCGTTAGGGGTGGATGCACTCGCGCACGATTGGCCCCCGGGCCTTCTGTACCCGTTCCCACCCCTGGCTCTGATACCCCCAACTCTGGCCAGAGTGAGAGAGCAATGCCACACACTTATCCTGATAGCTCCGCACTGGCCAGCTATGTACTGGCTAGCGGAGATATATCAGCTGCTGTGCGGGCAGCCATGGCAGCTCCCACTACGCAGGGACATACTGTCCCAAGCGGGGGGGGCGATCTTTCACCCACACCCAGAGCGCTTGGCTCTATGGGCCTGGCCCGTGAGTGGTACAATCTGAATACAGTGTGACATGAAGCTGACCCTGGCAGCTGCCAAGCGAGCCAGTGGCACTCATGCACTATCTGTACAGTCTTCATGCACTCAGTTCGCCCCAGGGCAAACAGAGTGTGGTTGAAGCCCAACCCTGCCTTTATCTTAAGGCGGTTGGTTCAGGTACCACAATTGACATTGAGGCATCCTCCCCGCCACTGTATTCCTCCGGGGAACAGCGGCCGGATTTGCCGTGTCCAGCCCGTGCTTTACGCACGTACAGGGACAGATCAAGGGTGCTTCGTCATAATGACCAACCCCTTGTGTCCTGGGCTAACCCTTATAAGGGCAAGCCTGTTACTAAGCAACGGCTCTCCCACTGGTTTGTGGAAGCAATTGCTTTGGGGCTCATACAAGTCAGAGTTCGCAGGCACCCTCGGGTCCGCGAGCTCTTTCGACTCAGGGTCTGGCTGCATCCTGGATATGTCTCCAATCCAAGACATTGGTGCAGCGGCGAGCTGGTCCTCGCCGCTCACTTTTGTCCGCCTCTTAACAGGCTGGACGTTCTGCTCCCAGTGTGACTCAAGCAGTGCTGGGCACCTGGTTGAGTCAGAGTTAAGTTCTGGTTGGTTTGGTGATTTTCGAGATAAGCTCGTCTGACAATACGGGAGCTACAATTTCCCATAGTGAGACATCGAACGGAGTGTTATGAATGAGAACTATAGGTTACTTACGTAACCCCAGTTCTCAGAGTAACATGAAGTGAGATGTCTCACCAGACGGCCCTCCTTGCTATGGTGAAGCGAGAAGAGATGCTTATTTTGAATGGCGCATGCGTTGTGCCGCAAGCTACTTATAGGGGGTGAATTCCCTGACGCTGACGTCAAGATCACCAGCCAATCAGGATTGGCGTAATGAGATTGATGCTTCTGTTTGCTCCGCGATGAGGCGCATCCCATAGTGAGACATCTCACTTCATGTTACTCTGAGAACTGGGGTTACGTAAGTAACCTATAGTTTCTGCGTGTCTGTGTCTTTAGTTGAAAGCCCAGTGGCGATCTGTTCATCTGTCATACTGATCATACAGTCAATACCTTTGTTGTTATTAGCATCTGGTTAGCTAGCTATGCTAACGAATATAAGAAGCTTTTTCTACAACCAGTGAGGTAAAGGCACATCTTTATATGATCATTATAGTTATAAAAAAATAAGAGAATAAAGTAAACAAGTATAAAATACTATATGACAGTAAAAATAAGTTATTAATAAACAAGAATACAGTTTGAAAGGAGAGTGATTTGTAAAATATCCATAAAGAAAAATAAATCTGCTTACAGTTCTGTTTCATATGGGTGTTGAGAGATGTATCCATAGATCTCTTAATGTTGCTCTCAAAGTGCACCAGATTGATGCTTTTAACTTCAACATTTAAAAAACAATCTTCCCGGGGGAACATGCCCCCCGGACCCCCCTAGAGGAGGTTAGCTCCCCCCCACTTAAATCATGTCCACATGAATAGGAAACTAAATACTTTTGCACACATCTTGTGTCCATATCTTTCTGTGTTGGTGGTCATGCCACAACCGTGCACGTGCATGCATGCGCGAGTCATAGTAAAATATCTAGATTAAGAGGTTGTTTTTTCTTTGCACAGCATGAAAGAAAGGCCAAATGAATCTGTGATTTTAGTATTTTTAAGCAGAGGTCAATAACTTGTATACGGCCCTCGGAGGATATTGTAAAAATTGAAATGGCCCTTGAGAGGAAAAAGGTTCCCCACCCCTGCTTTACACAGATAGTCTAGCTGTGTTGGCCAAACTTGGTAGAACCAACTACAGTTGATAGATGCAAGTAAGAGAAACATTCCTTATTGCTGTTGCAATTCATTTCAGAGTTTTCTAGGACACAAGGTCAGTGTAGTGCTCTATATGTTATTTTAGGAGTTGGAGAGGAAGAATGAGGTTACTGCTTTTCCTTTCCAATCCGTCAAACGACAGTGTCAGAGTTACAGTAGATCTGCGAGAAAACACTCAAGGTGAGAAACCAGACCTTACAGTCACTTCTAGAGGAATAAGTTAGCGACACAGCGCAGCAGCACCATGATAAGTGACTGTAACATTTGCTTTCACTGGGCTCTTGGGTGTGAAATGAAATGCATATTAAGGTCACACCTAGTCAGGTGATTGACAGCTAAAAGGGACAGAGAGAACAGAAAGAGGAAAAGATAGAAAGTAAATATATGAGACCATTTACCACGTTCTAGCTTCTTATCTGAGAACCGGTGGGAAAAACATGAGTGTGAGGGGTAAAGGGTGAAAATGGGCAAAATGAATGATGTGGGGGAGAGAAAGACAAAGAGACACAGTGAGTCCAGAAATCTCATGATGCTGTCAGTGGATGATAAACATTTTCATACATCAATACTCAAAATGCTCAAACTTGGACACGCTCATGTGAAAACAAACCTGCAACTAGGCATCCACAAACACACACTCAGATACACACAAGAATAGACTTCACACTGGAAGTTGAAACATGTCCGATTATATCACAAAACAAGGGACAATGAAGTATGACAAAAGGAAAGTGCTGTGTTTGTGTGTAAATGTAGGAGTTTGTATGACAAGTGTTCAGATAGTGTTTGATGCTAAGAAGCTGTTGAAAATACTCACTATTGCCTTCCTCTGAAACCATCCCAAGGCCCTCAGCCTTGTTCTGCCTCTCAAAAGCATTCAAGTCCAAAACGCTGTCAAAATGAAATATTCAGTCAGTTAAACAATATAAAGTCCTATCCTACAAACTCGACTTACAATGAGCCCTTCTCAAAGATGAGTATAGCTAATACAGTCAATATGTATTCTTATATTCCAGGCTCAGTTTATCATACATAAGCTTCGATTAACTTATTAAGCTTTAGGGGACACCACATTTTGGAGTCACGAACAGGATCGCATCTTGGGACACTGGAGGTGACTGACACTGCTCAGACAAAGGTACGGGACTTTTTGACACTATTATAAAATTGTTAATGAGCAGTCTTTTCTAGGGACCATATGCTGTGAGTGAAGTATAACTTCCATTGTCAAAAAAAGAAAGGTTAACAACAGAAACGCGTTACAGACCTGCAGGTCTGCATGAGAGCCTGAATGCTAAGGAAGAATCCCACTTCCTTTTTATCCTTCAGATAGTCCAACATCCGCTGCACACACACACAGAAACATAGAACATCAAATCTTAATATGGTGAGTAGTGAAAAAAACCTATTTGTTACAGTTTCTAATTGAAATATGATTGTCTTAGATTTATGTCATGTACCTGCTGTACATCACAATTGCCTCCGTTGAGGATGGAGATTCCCATTTTAAGAGTAGAAGAAACCATGGCTCCAGGTTCGCCTGAAGTAAGACAAGACATCAGTTAGGCGCAACAACTTGGAAACCAAAATAAGAATCAAACTTCATCTTGTTTATACAGGACTGCGTCATATTGCTCTTTGATGGGATTTTACGACATAAGAACATAAACTGGGAGAATGATGTCTCGACTCCGCAATGTAATAATAACACTCCTAGAGCCAGATAAGACCACAACATCATTTGTTGTTTAGTATCTGAAGTTGACACCATCATCCTAGCTTTCAATTGTCTGTGCTGAATGTTACCGTAACTACTATATCACCATAATCTCAAGGCAGATCAGGGCTTCCTCATGTAATAGTTACACAGCTCAAATAAGACATTTTTGATCAGATTCTAGCCCCATTTACCTTTACAGGCACTGATCATCTGCAGAACCATCTCTGCGGCCCCGCGGTTGTGCAGACGGGACTGCTGATACAGAAGTCTCTGTTTCTCCATCTCCTTATCCTGTGGAGCAGAGCAAGAGGAACACCGCTGTAACCCTGCCAACCGGGACTGCACTGCCCCCCGCACTCACTCGCACACAAACACGCATACAACCTCACAATTTAATTCTAGAAATGGCCATCCATGGACTGCACAGAGAGACGTTCCCAATGAAGATAGAGCTGATGAATTATGAAACGATATATTTGCTGCTCGATTTGGAAACATTTACAAATTGTCAATAACTTTTTTAATGATATTGTAATTGCGATAAGATCTGTGATATTAGAGGAAATTAACACTTTTGAAACATCAGTAACATAATCAATGAAAAATGTATTAAATAGGGATCTGTATGTAATATGGATTACTGTAAGTCTCTAGAAAACCATTTGTAGGCCAGGAATTCTCTACAGCTTCACAATACTTATTTTAGATATTTTTCACTTATTTAGCTTTTACCAAAGATTTAGCTTACTGGATATTGGTAGTCCATATTGCAATTTAAATGAAATTAAAATTATTTGTGCAGCCCTAGCAAGATATCTAGGGTTTAAGCTTTCTGCTTTTAATTGACAACGATATTAATAGAATTTATACACATTACAGACGGTATCTCTTCAAGCCTGTTCTAATGGTGTGGTTGTCAAATTTGGCACTACGATATAAAATGTTAGACGATTCTCATCACGGTCCTGAATAAACCTAATTTTAAATTATACAAATATTTGTTCTTGCTGCACTCGTGGCAATTTTTATTATACAAAAGACAAATCTAAAATATGAAATCTCTTATCGCAAAATAGGGATACCTGAACACACAAACACACATACACATTCTCTTCCAATGGATCACGTTGAGTATTAGTGATGGACACAGTTATTCCAGCTCTTCCAAAGGCAGTGAACATTCCTTCCAATGGCATACCACACATTTCACACATTCTTACGAGGATCCAACAGCAGTCGTTTGAGTCACACAGCATGCATACCCTGCTTTCAACAGCAGGTTAACCTGCTGCTACATCATGCTTCTGTCACGGGACATTAGCTCTAACAAATCTCTAAACCTCAACCTCAAAAAAAGGCAGAGGTACTTATTTAATGCATCATAAGTTTTGGATATTGAGGTTTTAATAAACTTAAAATTAAACAAATTGTAGTTGTTTTGAAAAGTTGGAAACACTGTACAATACTAGACTAGTATAGTGGTTTTACAGCATACTTATTTTGTTGCTACTACTAAAGAAACACTTCTCCACTCGAATTACTCGGTATTTTGTTATACTTAACTGCACAATGCTGCCATTTTAAAAACGATATGTATTCCACTGAGATACTGCACACATTTCTTTTATAATGTAATTTGTCATTATTGTACGAAGATTTTAGTATATTTATCTTCTTGTCAATATATATATATATATTCTTTTATTTTGTACGTTTTCATTGAAAAAAAATGAATACTTCTATATTTTTGGGCTTTTTAGAACTTAATACCTCTTAATGATTATGCACTATTTTACAGCAAAGCACAATTCTAAAAAAAAATTTAAAACTTATGATACAGTTTATCTGCTATTAACAACTATCGTCTTTACAAAAAAGGTTAGGTTTTAAGCCCCCAACGCACACCATGCGTGAAGCCCCACCCATAGCACCAAAAAGAGGAGACCCCCCCCCTCCCTTATAAGCCTGACTGTGATTTAAAAAATGTGGAGCAGCTTTTCTCTTCGTACAGAGGTTGTCCTCATATTTCGAGTTGAGTATGTGTGTTTGTGATGATTGAGAAGAGATTGTGTGTCTTATTAAGAGAGTGTGCTTGTGTTTGGGACCGTGTATGAACGGCTGACTGTGCAGGCTTTTACTGTAGTGCTTGGTGAGCACTGAGAGGGAAACATGGTCCAAATCAAAGTAAAGACAAACAAAATCCGTTACTTGCCAGTTGTTAGATTTCAAACTAGAGTTAACAGGTGAGTCTGTCCTAATAAGCGGGTGAGTACAAGAGGGTGTGAGTCAGGGAAGGGGGATTCAAGACCACAGTCACAACACATCAGCACCAGAGAGCTGCCTCTACTGACACCTGCTGCATGGCTTGCCCTGATAACTGTCATCAGTTTCCAAAAATAGCTGCTTGATTTAGTCTTGGAAGACAACATTACATTTCTGAGCACAGATCAGGTACCAGATAATGATGTTCAGTTAAATAAGTAACCTTAAATGAGAACATTGAACTAATTAAAGGGGTTCTTGCAGGAATACTTTACCCCAAAATGATCATTTGAGCATCAATGATTTACCCGTGTTACCATGAATTGCATGAGAATCCAAAAACAGAGAACATTTAAAATATGTACACAGATGTTTTGGTATAGCTTTGAAGTTAACAAACTGCACCATTTACTTCAATTCAAATATGTTCACAGTTTTTGGAGTCTTTCCTCACAGAGGATAAGAAATGCAAGTTTTCTTCACAAATTCAAGGTACACAAATTAATCATTTTGGGGTTAAGTATTCCTTTAAAGTAAATTAAAGGATTTGGATTGCATATGGGTGTAATGCTGTCCTCCAGGAAAAGCAATGGATCTATATATTTACAACATCACAGGGTCCAAGCCTGATCTTTGAAGCAAAACTAAATATTGATTTGATCATTGCAATTAGCTGGGGAATTTGTCAATGTTAACTATACAGTTTAACTTAAGTTTTGTGAAGCACTGTTAAGATTTCTGTTGATGTTCAAACCTAATAAATCTGTTTATGACAGACATTAAGCTGTCATTTATTTCAAATTGAGATTGATATTTCATATTTCCAAAGCCCCATTTTAAATTCCATCAGCGATGCATTATTCTTAGGTTTTAAGCTCTGTATCACAGGAATTATACTTTCTTTCACACTTCATTTTTCTCAAGTATGTTGAATTTAAAATGTACCTACTGCTAAATGTATTAAGATATTAAGCATTGAGCTCACACGCTAGGCCATAAAGGATTGCAGTAATCTTCTGTTTAGACCCCTAAAATTCAGGCTTGGAATTTGTGATTCTGAAATGTAACACCTAGCAGAGCATCAACCTTGGTTTCATTTTGTTGTCTTTAGCTGCACCGACTCTCTGGACTCAAGTCATGCAATTTAGGAAATGGACATTGATCCGACTGGTGGGCAGAGTCCAGCAAAGGCATGCACTGGTCAGTCCACCACAGCAGGAAGTAGACACGTGGTGTGAGTGGACAGAGAAAAGACAGGAAGAGAAAAAAGAGAAACGTTGTGGTGGTGGGGGGTTTGTGCCGAGTGTGATGTCATGGTGTGGCGATGGGGAGTTGCTTCTCCGCTGACTCCCCCTGTCTCCCTTCCCCTGGTCCCCCCATACCAATTCTGTCTGTTGCACCTCAAAGGCTGGCTCCTCCCCCTCCTGATCTCCCCCTTCGTCCTCCTCACCAATGTGACAGCTCTGAAAGGATGAATAAGGCAGGTCAGGAAGGAGTGCAGGATCACTCACTTTACTCCACAAAGCACAACATGTATATGAAAAATAATAACAATTAAAATGTTGTTAAACCAGGCATCAAATAGTGGCCAAATGGTGGTACTACAACATCCATGTCTGTCAAAAAATACTTTTTTCCATTGAGTTACATTTGGTAAAAGAAAAGAAAATCAGCATACCAGCATGCTTTCTGCTTTGAAATGTCATTCTATTTCCAGTTATGTTATTTCTTCTATAATCTTTCATGCGCAAAGAAGGGCTGATAGATGTGGAGAAAAACTTGATATCATGATGTAGCAACTATATTGAAGCATTGACTTTTGGTTCTTCCACAATATATATTTTTAAGTGTTACAATGAAATATTACAACAGCTAGATTGGTAAATCCCCCAAAATGTATCACCTTACGGAAATGCAGCCTAGATAAGACAACCCTTATGTTATATTAGGAAATTACGATATTGTTTTCATGTATAAGAGGATATGTAGTCTTTTATCAGGATATATATAATATGGATATATTGCCCAGCCTTAGTGCAAAGCACACAATTAACATATGAGAACATTGTTCTTGTGGATCAAATGTAAGTTTCTGCTCACTGACTGTCTTACCTTTGCCATAATATCAGCATAAGACATATAGAGGTGGTCAACGTCAAGTTTACTGCAATGAGAAAAAGACAGAACAGGAATCATCACTGAGGAACAGGTGGAAGGTTAGCCGCAGGAAAAGCAAACGACTCTTACGTCTTCTCTGTGAGAGCTGTGCGGCTGAAATGAAGAATCAGCTGATGAAGGGGGTCAGGCTTCGTCTCGGTCTCCTCTTCCTCTTCCTCCTCTTCCTCCAAGGCTTTCTAGTCATTGGATATAACATGAATCATAAGAAGTCCTAGCGTACACAATGGACGATATCCTTAAACACAAATTGTAGATCTCAGAATAAAATGGAGGATGACTTACTGATAAGTCGTCAATCATCTTGTCCTCAAACAAGTAACCTTCAGTCTCCAACCAGTTGCGTTTGTAGGCATCTAAGAACATGTTGGTCGCCCTGTGCCTGTGGGGGGGGACATGCAATTCAACACGTTTGTAAATGCTAATGTCAAGTGTTATTTTTCTTTCTTTTAAAAAAATGTGCCCTACTTATATTGTATCTCACTCCAGTCCCCTCTCCCTCACCCATTTACACCAACTGACAACCACACACTTGCTGTATCAAAGTTTCAACAAAAAAAAACATTCTTTATTTAGAATATTAAAAACATGGTTGTAAATTCTAATCTCCATATACAATAGAATCAGTATAAAGGCACATATATATATATATATGTGCTTTTATAATCAAAACCTCTCATCTCTCTGGTTCTTAAGTCATAAAATACAGGAGACAAAACAACTTGGATCACACTTAGGATGGATCACCAGAATATGTATCACTTGCCCTTCAGCCCCTTTACTACTATAGAGTGGTGCAGTGAAGTTAGCAAGAGTTTTTCTGTCATTTGTCATACTTTGTAAAGAAATGTTGTCTGCATGTGATCCTGTGTTTGTCTTCACCTGTCCTGTAATCTCTTAATCAGCCAATATAAAGAAAGAATGGAGTAGGAAAGAGAATCCTTACGCAGGGATGTTGTACAGGGGGGTCATCCTGAAACAGGCCACCACAGCTCTGCGCCGCTGCTTTGACAGCAGCTTATGCCACACCATTTTCTTCGACTTGTAGGGATGCTCCGTCTAAAGCAAGATATATATGTTTACTGAAACAATCCTTCCTTTGAATAAGTCCTCATGTTTCATGAAAGCGCTCCAAATAATGAAACTTGTGTCTTTACTCACCACCTCGATGTGGTAAAGGACAGCCGACACCTCTTGTACTCTTTTTACCACTTTCTCAGGGTCCTCTGCATCTTCTGCCTTCCCGGAATTCTCCTTATAAAGAGACATCTGCCAGCGCATAGCGGGGTCCTCCACCTGAAGCCAAATATGCATATTGTGTGAAGAAATATTTACAAGTAATATCTTTAATATGTAAAACGATAATAAAGATGAACCTACCTTCCCTTGCAGATGCAGATTGTTGGTCAAGAACTCCCTAACCTCTTCATCCGTGTCTTTCTACAAGGGAAGAGACCAGGATTGGGGGGAAATTCATCACTTATTCATTCACTCAATATCCATACATCAAAAAGTCAAACAAATGACCCTAAGACACAGTTCCAGTGATGTCATGTTGGGGCAAAATACAGTCAGCGAGTTGGTTTCAAACACATCAAAGTACCAGTGAGTATCTGATCTTGGCGAGGTTGATGAGCTCCTGGTCTGCAGGAGAGCACATGTTGAGGCCGATAGGAAGCATCTTCTTTAAAGCAGCGACGATGAGGGAGGTCTGCACAGAGTAGCGGTCCCCGCGCCGCTTCTTCTTGGTACGCTCCTGCTCTGAGCCTCCAGACTAAAGAAAAGAGGACACGTTGAAACCGATTCATCAGTGATCCATTTAAAAGCCCCTGCGCCTCACACATCAAAACATTTCCTTTTCAGAAAATATAATATATTATATGTTTTATATAATATCAGAGGCTTTTGACAATATTTAACAAATAAAGTAAGAGCTGCTTCTAACACAAAACACAACAGGAACCAACTGCTGAGGTAACATCTTAGGGAATGGGAATGTGATGTCTTTACCAGCACGTCAGCCATCTTTGAGGATACCAGCGAATGCAACTGAACCTATTGACTTTACCTGTATGGCGACCTAAGCAGCGAACCTTTTCACGTCACTTTTTAGTTGAAACCACGACCAAGAAATAAAACAAAAGAGGACTATGAGATTCTTGGGTAATTATGTTCCTACATGGATGGTCATGAGTCATAGCAAACATTTGCAAGATATGCCACATGGTCTGCTGATAGTTTACTGCAAGTGCTGAAAAGAATTGCTGAACTACAGTAATACAAACCACTACAAATAATAAAAAGTTAATACATGAAATATCTCAGTATATATAAATATAGGTAGATAAATGCATGATAAGCCAACGTTTTGTTAGCATTCAGCTATCACAACATTAGCTATCCTACTTTTGTCTGGATGATTGTGGCCTCTACATCTGAAGGTCCTGTATTCCCTGTTTGTAAACTTGCCAATGGCCTCTAAATATTTAACATTTTCAGATTGCCAACAGGTGTGGGCACTTACTCCAAACACCAGATGGGCGCCAAGATCAGTAACAGTGATCAGAGCACTCTTCTCTTCATTCGTAAGTATAGGTACCGTTAATTAACTGAATTTTGCAAAGGAACGCTCTTCTCTCTGTAAGGGAATAGATTTTTGTGCCCGTACTTATTCGTTTTGAATCCAAAACAGCTGAAAGCTGATGGATGTTGACAGCACATGATGTTGCTATAGTTGCTATCCTTCAAAGATGGCCGCGTTCCCACAAAATGCTTCGCAGTTCCCATTTGCTATACCACAACATGCCAATAAAGTGAATCAACAACTTAGAGAAAGTTTAATCTGAGAAACTAAGACAGACCCACAAATACATTTTCATCCAAAAATGGTATGGGTTCAGTTGCTCGCTGCTGCATCAGCTACAGACATTATGCACAATGCAGCCTGGCTGTTAGTAGAGCAATGACAGGGCACTTTCTGTCCACTGGACAGCACACAGAGCAGTCTGTGGGGTCAGCTCCATCGCCCTGGAGCTCTTCTCACACACTCCTGTCCTGAAGCTGCCAATGCTCATTGCTGACTGTTGCCTGGCCTCACAGCAGGCCCTCTGCCCTCAGTGCAGCGTGTGGACCTGGGTCAGAACCGCTCTTTGAGCAGAGAGAGGCGTTGTGATGGTCAGGCAACAGGAGCTTACTGCAGTAATGCCCATATGAAAGCCAAGGAGAGGAGGTTTTCTTATTTATCTTACAGCAACCACAGAAGAAAACATCAAAACAGAGATTATTCAATGATTTAACTAGTTGATGGAGTCAATGAATTAGACATGGAGGGACATGTCCAGTTAGTAAATATGGTGGTCTTCAGTTCTCCGCCATATGCTGCTGAATGACCAAGTGAATCTTATGGTATGGTATTTTGGTGAAAAGAGATAGTGAAAACAAAGCTGATGATAAGACTGAAAAGAGAAGAGTCCCCCAGCGCAGGAATCTTTTACCATAAAAGCTGAAAGAAATCCCAAGTGTCCTTAAAAACACTTCAGCGTCACAGATGGCACAGCAGCACGGTGTCCTCAACTGTATCCGTCAGGGACCATCAGAAGGCAAACTCTTTATTCATCAAAGAACAATAGGGTGATGGTGCTCGGCCGCAGAATTTCACATTGGAAATGAAATACACATCTGCTCAGCCGAGCGCCATGACACCTCTCAGGCCACTTCCATCTACAGCAAAGAGCTTTCATCAAGCCGCTCCAGACCCCTACTCACACATACACATACACATACACATACACACAAAGACAGGACGCACATCGCTTACACGCTCAGATTCAAACTCAATATTACTTCAAATAATATCGTGAAAGGGTCCCACTCACAAAAAGCAGTTTCAACTAAGTCTCCATTAAACAGTATCATCTTACCTATGGATATCAATCATTATTGTAACATAGCTTATACTGAGGAATGGATTTTACTGATAGTAACTGTGTGTTAATTAGGGCTGCACAGCTAATCAAATTCAATCTAAATCAGAATAAATATGGACTAGTGCAATATCCAAATCGCATTCAATATTTGATAGGTAAAGTATGTGAAAATATCTAAATGAAGTACTGTGTGATGCAGAGAGGTCCCGGTTTACAAACTTGAAAAAAAGTATTTAGTGTTACAGATCCTTTGAAAGAAATGATCATTTCAATATTTTTCTCGATTATAATGTGAATAAGTAAAATGTGAATTCCCTTAATATTGCAATTCATATTGCATTTGCAATATCAGTGAACAAACTAAGATAGAGTAAGTTATGATTTCCCTGTATGTGTGTGAATTGTGGGGTCTATGTGTAAGAAATGCGGTGTCCATGGGAGAGCTTGATGAAATGCCTCCCAAAACTCAGGGTGCCATGCGATCAGCACAGCGCTCGTGCACAAACACAGTCTAACCTCTCCATCTCCGGCCTAGTGGCCCAGCGTCCAACCCGCGACACAGGATATAAGGAGAAAACACAGTTAGCGACACTCCTACTACTGCCTAAACACTATGGACCACCGCGTATATATTGTCCTGGGAGAAAAAAATGGTGAGTCATTATAGCCTAGTATAATAAGACAACTATTTTGGTGATCCATTTTCTAGGTCTGATCTTAATGGTTTTCTATCTAGGGTGTACCACTTAAGAACTGGTGAACAGTGAAAGACTTGCCAAGACTAAGAATATTTGTGAAGTAGGAGGGGGAATACTACGGAATGGGATTAGGGCCACATGTGACATCTTTGTGGAGATCTGACCAAAAGTGACTTTAAATTCTGATTTAATTTTCACAACTAAAATAAATATCACTTTTAGACAGACGTAAAAAAATACATGTATGTGGCGCTAATCCTCCCCTGTAGTCAAAGGGAATACATTTTTTCTTGAAATCAAAAAGTTTCTTCGCACTGGTTCTTAAGCAATACATTGAGGACATACATCAACTAAGATCACTCTTAGGATGGATCATCATCATTGTTTCTCTCTTGCCTCTCAGGCCCTTAACTACTATAGAGTGGTGCAATGAAGTTAGCATTGTTAGGGCTCCCTTGTCTAAAAGCTAAAGGAATTTTTGCATTGGATTTCGGAATGGGGCAAACAAACATTTATGATACCTACATGTTTGGTTCAGCAGAATAATCTCCACTTATAATCATCACTTTTAGAATGTTTGAAGTGAAAACGCACTCGCCAGAAGTAACTGGTTATTAACAACCTACATCACACTCACATTACTCCATAACAACACAGCTAAGCTAAAGGTGGCTAGTGTTTGGCATGATCGAGTTTAGTACTACTTTCACATGTCTCATTTAGACACTTGTTAGCAGCTGCGCTAGCTGCGGTTGCTAACGAGACACGGAAAAGCTTCATACATTTGCCTAACATATTTTATGTTGTTGAACAAAAAAATTCAACACAGATCTTATTTTTGGTATCTAAAAAAAAAACGAATTTGAAAAAACCATTGATTTTGAGCTGATGGAGCCAAAAAGTGCTAAAAATGCTAACTCATTTTACGGGTTTTCGACTAATTCCTGCACCACTCTATTACGCTTTCAATTTTTAGAATATTATTATTATTTTTCACCTGATATCAATATCAACTTAAAGGAACAGGAAGACAGAAGACAGGAAATAACAGATGATAAAAGTTCAGATGGGGGTTTGATATAAAAACGCTTAGAATGGGTGGTGTTAGTGAAATATTACATTATTAGAGTTTAGTTACGTAATGTATTACAGCTCAAGATATGCATGTAAGTGAATAAACATCTCATTTAGTGAAAGGCTATGTTTTTCTTGGCCTTTTGTCTGCTTTTCCGCTCTCACCTTGCTCATCTTGCTCTTACTGTCTGCGGTCAGGAAGGACATGTTGTTGATCTCATTCATCACCACAAAGTTCTGTTCCTCTCTCTTAAAGTTCTGTGAGGAATAACACAGAAAACAAATGTCACATGGGAAAGGAAAGACAACCATTGCCAAACCGAAAAAGCTAACTCATAAAAGACACAAAGACTCACGTGGGATTTGGACCAGAAAATGAAGACTTCCCCCACCATCCTGAAGAGTTCCTCTGCATCCGGGTCAGGACAGGTCAACCATCTCGCCCTACACACAGAAAATTGCATGGATTAACTTAAACTCTTAAATACATTCTGTAAATCCTAGTGAAGAGCAGGGGAAAGGCTTTTCTGTTAATATACCAGAAACATTTTATATCACTTTATACAAACTGATGACATTGTACTTTGAAATTGAAACCCATCTGCTTTGGTAGATCCATTTTCCCTTTTTGGTTTTACTATCTTTAACTTGAATTTCTTTAAGTCTGAAGCTTTTCCCCTTGAAAATGTAATACAAACTGGCCATGCCAGGAAAGCACTGAATACTGATATCTAACAGTGAAGTGTGGTTATATCAAATGAAATGCCATAATAGTGTGTCAGTCTTCTTAAATCAAAACAATGCTCATTGATTGTGAGTTACTCTGGAGAATAGTGTTGCTATAAGCTCAAACTTTATAACTAAGTTATAAAGTGTTATACTAACAATTGAAAGCAATAATGTGTTATGCATATGTATTACACTCTTTAGTTGATTAAATGATTCTGATTGGTCAATTAGTAAATTCAGTAGTTTGCAGACCGTTGCTAAAGATGCTCTGATCAAGGGAACACATCTGTTTTTCCTCATCAGAAAACACTAAGGAATATTATTTTGCATATATCTGGCAAGCAATATATTTATACCCATGGCTAAACTGTCCCCCGTAAAGAAATGCCAAAGAGAACAAGCAAACAGAGCAAAAGAGGGAAAGAGGATAAAGACACAGAGAGCAGCAGGATAGAGAAATCAGCAGAAGACAGACAGGAAGTAAACCCTGGCAGTGTTTACAAACTGGTACATTTGAAAGAAACTGTGAACGGACTAGGACATTTATGAGGCATGTTATCTTGTGTCAAATTGTTTATTTAGTTAGTAAATAGTTGTTTAATAACCTGGACAACATGCAGCAAGCCGATAATTATAGGAATGAAAGGTCTCCTATCATGCTATTTTTAGGCATATATTCTAGGTCTCAGATATATACAAAAATATAAAAAATATGTCTATGAAGTGTTTTGCTCAAAATACCAAACAGAGCACCCATTCTAGCCATGCCTCATACCCCTCTATTGCAGCCCTGTTACCATCATGCTGATTCTGGGTATAAAGCAGGGGTGGGGAACCTTTTTCCTCTCAAGGGCCATTTCAATTTTTTCAACATCCTCCGAGGGCCGTACAAATGATTGACCTCTGCTTAAAAATACTAACATCACAGCCCATTCATTTGGCCTTTCTTTCATGCTGTGCAAAGAGCAACCTCTAAATCCAGATATCTCACCATGACTCGCGCATGCATGCACGTGCACACAAACTGCGGCATGTGCACGGCTCCTTATCGGTACTGCAATTTGTGAAGTGCCGGAGTTGCGTTCTGGTGCTCTCCGTCAGAACTACACCCCTGTCAGACGAGACATATACCACGTGATGACACGTTTGGCTCGTGTTGTGTTCAAGGACCCTGACCTTGGCCAGGAAAAACAGGCACTCGCTTGTTTAATTTTTTTGCGGTCTACATTTCTTACATTTTTTTCTTTTTTGCGTGTGTTTATAAATTACCTCGAGGGCCGTACCAAATGGCCTCGCGGTCCGTATACGGCCCGGAAGCCGGAGGTTCTCCACCCCTGGTAATAAGCTTTAAACATTTTTTTAAAAAGAGACGGCGGAGCTTATGCCTGCTCATGCGGGAGAATTCTACCTAGATACAGCTACATGCTGCCGTGATTATTACGCAATATTATGTTCAGAACTACATCAAAGATTATTTCTGAAACAGTATGGAGCTCAAATGCTTTTTCTCTCTTGCGGGTTTACCACAAGATGAATTCCTTTTTTTATTTCCTGATTTTTTACTCATACTCTCTCCAGTGTTAGCGATGCTTGCTAATGTAAACAAAGACCATTTACTTCCAAAACACGTCGGCCATTGTTTCTGATAGCAACGTTTCTGATAGGGCCGTGGGAGTGAAGCCAGCCCACATTTCAGATATTATGTCATATCGGCAGCAAGTCTGGATCAGCTCCGCTGTATCGGAGATAGATTTGGGTACGGAGGAAAAGAGAGAGGGTTTTGTTTTCTGACACTTTGTGAGTCTCCTTACACACCGGGGACACATATTTATGTATAAAAGACATAAAAAAGTGAATTTTGCATGATAGGAGACCTTTAAAGGAACCCCTACGGCTAGATTGAATACCCCCTGATTACTCTGTCAGGGTTCCTTATGCTAGGATGACCGGCTCTCTGCATATTATCCCTCATGTATCACGTCATCGCTAAGATCAGCTACCTGTTGTTGTCCACGTAGCGGATGAGCAGGGGGTAGAGAGCATACAGGTCCCGGCACAGCACAGCGAACTCATCTCGGATGGTCCCGTTCTCACTGTCCATCTCCTGCTTGCCCTCCATGCGCAGCTGATCCTCCTCGGCCACCACCTTCCCTGAACGCTTCTTCAGCTTCTCCATGGTGGGGATGAAGTGGGACTTAAGCATCTCTGGCTTAGCCCTGCTGACAATAGGCTGGGAGAACACTGGACAAGAGGTAAACAGGAATTAGCTGAGACCAGCAGCAGTAAGAGTCAGTATAGTTATCTAAAAAAAAAACTAACCCTAAAAAAAAAGAAGGTTAGCTATGAAAAGTTGCCTCACACTGATACTTTGAATAGTGCCTGACCAGAAACAGCCATGGGGGGTACAATCAGAAAGGTCATCTAGAGAACTTCCTATAAAGGCAATGCCATGACACGCCCTACACTGCTTCTTATTGGCTTACCCTGATAATCTTACACTTATCCTAACCAATATTACTCTTCATGCCTAATCAATCAAACAAACAAGGCAATGGAGTAGTAAAGTGATGATGTATTTGTGTATGCCGACCCATAAGTAAGAATTGTAAGGGGTCCCTCAACAACAAGCACTACCCATCACAATCGCTTAGCTAATGTTGGTCCTGATGAAGTTTAGTGGTCTCATTTAGTCATTTACCAGTGGGGTATTTACTGACGAATTTTGTCGTAGAACAACAAGTGATACTCTCTCAAGCTTGAGCTAAACACAGACCTTCTTTCAGGCATCTAACCAAAAACACGATACAAAACAGTTAACCTCAAGGTGAGGGGACAGGAAGTGGAAAAATGCTAACTCATTTATGGGTTTTAGGACTCATTCCTGCACCACACTAGAGGCGCTTTCACACCGGAGTACTTTTCCCAGTATAGTTCTAGTATAGGTCCGATATAGTTCCGAAAATGTGCGTATCCGGAACTAGAACTTAGTTCATGGGAATCTTTTCACCCCCTTCTCAGTCCCTGCTAGAGAGCAGGTACTTTCTCATGGGAGAAAAAGGTTCCCATTACTGATTGGCTGGGTAGATTGCAAACCACGTCCCGTAAAACTCCCAAAAAGTTTTGTGAAGCCGCCATTTCATTTTCCATTAGCATTATTAGCATTAGCCCAGCGCACAAATGCAGAGAGACTAACTTATGGCAACACAAAATAAAACATGGGAGCGGTGGAGATGAGGAGGTGTCGGCATTCTGGCGATTTACTCGGAAGGCTTCAGTAGAAGCTGCTGTGAGTCCCAGCAGCTTCTACTGAAGCCAGTCCCCAACTCCGGGGACTTCCGGCCGGGGACTTCGGATAGCAGTATATGCCGTGAAGTTGTTTTCGCGGCCTGCCAGTAAACCCAAAGCAGAAGAAGAAGTGACGTCAGCGGCTTCATTTGCCTAACCCTCCCTCAGGGACTTATTCCGGTGTGAACGCGATCTGCTCTTTAGTTCTGATGAACTCTTTAGTTCTGATGAACTAAGTTCTGATTAACTAAGTACGGCAAAGTACTTGGTGTGAAAGCTCCTTATGACCAGTGTTGGGACTAACGCGTTACAAAGTAACGCGTTACTGTTACGCCGTTATTTCTGGCAGTAACTAGTACTCTAACGCATTACTTTTTAAATTCATACCGTTACTACATGGTGCGTTACTCCGTTAATTTTTTTTATATAGTCAACAGCCAGGCGAACATAGATGAGAACTGTACTTAAGTACAGTACTTGAGTAAATGTACTTAGATACTTCCTGTGTCACATGCGGAGACGCGCTGTGGGCGTGTTTGTGTTGTTTACTAACAAGACTATCATGGCGGCGGCGGAGCTCAAGTCTAGTTTCTCCACCTGGAGATATTCTCACTATTTCACTTTTGTCGAGCACAAAGAAAAGAACGTTTTAGTTAAATGTAAGTTGTGTCTTGGCGGGTCAAATATCCTATCTACTGCCCAAACCAGTCATTCAAATCTCTTAAAACATCTGCAAAAACAACATGCTGGGACGAAGCTAGTAGCTAAGACCACAGAGACTCTGCCGACGCCACTCCACCTCCACCTAAGCAACAGCGGCTGGATTTTAACCAAGGGACTGCTAGCCAGGGAAAAGTCGATAAAGCCATTGCACGGTATGTTGTAGAACACATGCAGGCTATTGCTACAGTGGAGTCACCCGCTTTCAGGGAGCTAGTTAGCATGATACCATGTCTGGGCGGCACACGGTATATGGAACGGAAAACTTTTTCCAACTACCTGGAGAAAGAATATACAAAAATGGAAAGCCAGCTAATATCGATGCAATCCAGATTGCATATAATGCATGTCAAGTTGATCAACAGATTGTATTATTCTCCAATGCAATAACAGTACTGAAATGAAGGCTATAAGGGCATTAATGGGAGCCCTTTTGTAAGTAACCCAAAAGTTACTTTTCACAGTAACGCAATACTTTTTGGTGTAAGTAACTAGTAAAGTAACTGAGTTACTTTTGAAATGAAGTAACTAGTAATGGTAACTAGTTACTGGTTTTCGGTAACTAGCACAACACTACTTATGACTACAGACCAACAGCCTTGTGACTTATTGTGAAACTTCTGATGACTGACCTGCCAATCTCTTCATCCAGGAGGCCTCATCTATACCCAGGTTGTTAACCACGATCTTCATGATGCTCCCCAGCAGCTGGTTGAGCTGCTCCGAAGTGACGGAGGTGCAGACCTGGCCCTCCTGCTCGGGGAGATTCTCCGGGCCCCTCTCCCACCAGCGGGGCAGGTAGTTACACAACATGGGCAGGGTGATCTCAATCACATGGGGCATTTCTGTGTAGCGAGCCCCTGACTCGGCCAGGTCGTGGATTTCCTTCATCAGGACCTCCAGCTCGGGGATGTCCGGGCACAGCTCCTCCACTTGGCTCGGGAGACCCAGAACTGAGAACGGAGGGTGTAAGACAGGTGGAATATGAGGTGGCAACATTTGATTATGAACTGATTCTTATAATTGTTGTAAGAGAAAAACCCACTGGTTCTCTCTCTGGGAGTCTTGGTGGTGTAAACAGAGAACATGTTGTACTCATTCAGGGATGGCTCCAGGAAGGCCACTGGCATGGCAGCTGCTAAGTGGGCCAAACACTCGCCAAGAGCCGGTCGCTGTCTGCACAAGAGAAAAATATAAAACCCTTTATGAAATGTCTACATTAAACCAAGTATAAATCAATGCATAATCAACCCATAAAAGCACACATTAACATTTGGGGTTAAAGGTTGTGCAGTATTTCATGTTAATCAAGGGAAAGAGTTATACTTTAGGCCAGGGGTGCCCAACCTTTTTTGAACCGAGAGCTACTTTTAAAGTTGCCAGTCTGCCGAGATCTACCAGTCCAAATAGAGAGGCGTAGCCATTACTGACAGCCTACTACCAGGTAAATACACACTTCTACTTGTATAAAACTGACCTTTGCACGATTAATACTTCATAAAATACTGCAGATCCTTTAACTTACCTCTTTCTAATCTACACACATACAAGTATTTAACTGAAGTTACACAACAGTGTTGTTGATACAGAGTTGGAGTTTATTCAGACGTCACTACAGTGGGTAATGTTTTCAAGAAACATTGAACAGTGCTGCCACATATGACACAGGGAAAAAAGAAAGACTCTGAACCCTTTCTTTGCCATTATATAAAAATAGTGTTGCTACAAAAGTATAAATTAGGCTTACTAATAAGACAACTCAGATCTGAAGCTACACAGGAATCTGCTGCCAAAGTGCAATAAAAAAGACAAAATTAATAGAATCAAAAAATGTTTTGTTGAATATAAAAAGAAATGCCTTTAAAATAGGATGCAAGCAACACTAGTTTCTTAACCTGAATTGATAATAGACTATAATCAATTAAAACAGAACAGATCTTAATGTTTGCATTCTTATACCATTTTGTACAATAATTATAATGAATAAGTTCAAACAAACTAAAACTTACATCTGATTAATAACGGTATCTAACTTGAGTTTTTATTATATCAAAAACCTGTTGAAATGCTGCTGTTATTTTTAGTGTCCCCAAAAAGCGTGTCGGCAGCCTCCAGGAAAGCTTCTTTCACAACTTCGCCGTCTTTGAAAGACTTCATGTGTTTCGCAAGAACGTGACTGACACGATAAGATGCTATGGTAGCAGCCTTGCTCTTGTTGTTGGGCCTGGTGGAAATGGACTGCTGTGCATTTAGCTGTCCTTTCAGGCCCCTCCCCTTTTGGAGCGTAGGGCAGAATTAGGAGGGAATTCCGTCTCGTAGCGTTTGTGCACTGTTTTGAAATGCAGCTCCTAAATTACCCTTCTTCGATAAAGCCACGCTCGCATTGCAGATGAGACAGATGGACTTTGAATTGGAATAGATACAAAAATAATCATCCTCCCACTCGGAGTGAAAATTATATATTTTGGGCTTTTTTGCTTCTGCCATAATTGCGGTCTTGTGTGTGTGCGGACTGTCACTCCTGTTGACTAGGGGTGGGCGGATCGATCCCAAAATATCGATACCTCCGATATTACGTTACGTTTCAAAATATCGATACTAGAGCCAATAGGATCGATACTGTTATACTTTTTTTCTCGTCTCCTCTACTAGTCAATTTCTTCAAAAAACTATGTGCAGACGAACACAAGTATATGCTCTTTTCTTCTCTCTCCACTGCTGTCCTCTTCTCCTCGAGGCTCCCTGCCTGAACGCCGATTATCAAGCGGACTGACAGCAGCCAGCAGGGCAGGACAGCAGCAGCCAGCGACTCGCGAGTGCAACACACACACGCGCATGATGGCTGAGAGAAAGAGCAGCGTTGTGTGGAGCAATTTCACAACTGGCCATTAAAACTTAGCGAACTGTGATGTGTGCAAGAAGACAGTTCGCTACTTTGGCCACTTTGTATTGTTATTTTTCATGTTTGCACTTTAAATTTGCAAAAGTAAAACGTGTATTTGTCTATAAAAACTGTCCTGTCTTTATTCATGAAAATGAATTCAGATTTAGTCTATTTATGATGATTTCAGCTCAAAAATCATGTCATGCAGCTCTCCCCTATATGAAAGTACATAAGACGCTTTTCATTAAAAAAGTATCGGTATCGATATCGGTATCGGCGATACTGGCCCTGAAATACTTGGTATCGGATCGAATCCAGATTTTGTGGTATCGCCCACCCCTACTGTTGACACGGACAACGTCAGCGAAATAGTGCCCACTGCCCACCAGCCACGCCCCGACACATGGGGTCACGCCGGCCAATCACAAAGCTTTGATGCGTTCAAATGCATTATTCTGGCACAGGAAGATTATGTTACAGGACATTAACGATAAAACAGAATGTTGTTGTTCTATTTGTAGACACATCTCGCGATCGACTGGGAATCTCCCGGTCGATCGCGATCGACTGGTTGGGCACCCCTGCTTTAGGCTATATAAATTAAATTAACTTGATACAAATCCCATTTAAATGCAAATTGTTGAAGACTTCCATAGATCCAGAGGTCTTTACTCACTTCTCTACATGTGGAGTCTTCACCGTGCCCAAAGAGTAGATGCTGCACATTAAACGATAGCAGGATATTTGCAAGTCGTCCACTGAGGATGCAGAGAAAAAAGGCATTGCATTAAGTTTCTGTCAGTGAAGTGATTAACCATTTATTTAATAGAGAAAAGCCTTTCACTCACACATGACGTCGTCTCCAAACTGGAACTGGGCGATGTGGTCGAACAGCGAGGTGAGGACTGGCAGCAGAGCGTTGGTGGTGTAGTTGATGTTCTGGGACACACCCTTAACCTAAAGTACAGGAACACACACACAAATACAGACATCAGCTCACAACTAGAGAATGCAATTCCTGAAGAAATTGCTAGTGGGAATGCTTTATGCTGAGAAGCTGACGCTAAACTGCTATGCTGAAATGTAATGTGTAAGAAGAAAGTGAAGAATTGAGATTGAAATGATACATGAACACTGGGGGCTTGAATGTGTGATGAGAGAAGAAAATAAAGTAAAAAAGCTTGGAAAAGCAACAGAATATTTGAACTGCAAACGTTTGAACTAACTTGATGGCGAATGATCTGTTGCCATGGCAACGGCATTTGATGGCATCCCTTAATATGCTTAGATGCGTTGATGGCTGCATCGTTACCAAACCTGTGAAGTTTTGGGTTGTTTGGAGCATTTTCACTGGAGTTATGAGAAAACCGTGTTTCATGGTGAGCATTGTGTTGCCATGGCAACGGCATTTGAAGAAATCTAAAAACTGTCCCGTAGATGTTTTCACGGCTGGACTGTTAGCACACGTGTGAAGTTTGAGCTTATAGCAATATCGTGTTTTATTGCGAGGGATGCATTGCCATGGCAACAGCTTTTGAGGAAAACTCACTATTGGCACATAGACGGAGGAGTGCATCTGACGAAGAGATAGGTTGTTGTGCTCTCTATCTCTGTTTTCTTATCCTACATTGTTCACCCTGGACAAGAGGGAAAGCTTTCTTGGACGCCTTTTCAGCTGTTTCTTACTATATTCTTCCTACCTCGTTTACCTTGAACTATTCTAGGAGAGTGTGTTGACGTTGACTCGTTGGGCCTTTCCTCCTGTACTTGTTTGTTCCCCAGTTCTTTCCTTTAACTGAATCTAGGAGAGGGCATTTAGGCCTCTCTACTTCCTTATTTTGATTAGTTTAGTTTTTCACCCCCTTTCCCTTGAACTAATTTACACGGGAGAGTGCATTTACCTAGTCACGTTGTGCCTCTCGGCGTATACTTTGACTTTCTGTCTCTTTGGAGAGTGCTAGTACGTTGGATACTTTTTCACTGTTGTCCCTCTTCACTAGTATCCCATGTCCCCTCTTTATAATTTGGGTCTTCATAATTTCCACCCTATTCTAAGGGGAAGCATGATGGTGCCTTTTCTTTTCAATTTCTTGCTTTGTGTTTCTTCACCTCTTACTCGTTTAATATTTAGGAGAGTGCATTTACGTAGTCACGTTGTTTTCTCTCTTCCTCTGTTTCTGGCTATTCTTTTCATACCCTTCTTTCTCTGAGAAGAGAAGAAATTATATTCTAAAAGGAGCTGACACATGGTGTCTCTTCACTTGTACACTTGAGGGGTCAGAGTTCATATGGTGAGGGATTCCATGAGCGATATGCGCCGGCCTGTGCCTTTACCTTGGACTTCTAATAGAACTGCTCGGGTCTTGATAGATTGAGTGGGGAAGTTCATGAGATCTTTCTAGAGGGTTATCAAGAATAACTTTTATCCAATGACCTTTTCCCTCTCTGTCTGTGTCTGTGTATTCTCTTGTTCCGATTAACCCAGCCAAATCTTTTTTCTTGTTTTGTATCTATATCTACGCCGGGATCCGGAGTCGAGGCTGATCCTCTTGCTGTAGTCCTGTGTCTTGGATCCTCTATCCCGAGTTCTGGATTAAGTCGTGGACGTTTCGGGTCGTGGCTGAACTTGTCTCTGCGGTCCTGCCTTGGGTCTCGCCATGCTGCTTCCCTGATGGCTTCCTCAGGATTGTAGCTGACATCCTCGTGGATTCATCTTCTTATTACAGACACATGCATTTCCTAACATTCGGTCTATATGCTGTCAAATGTATTATCTCTTCGATTTACACACGGCATCTATTGCACGTCTGTCCGTCCTGGGAGAGGGATCCCTCCTCTGTTGCTCTCCCTGAGGTTTCTCCCATTTTTTTCCCTTAAACTGTGGGTTTTCTCTGGAAGTTTTTCCTTGTACGATGTGAGGGTCTAAGGACAGAGGGTGTCGTTTTTCTCATACTGATATTCTGAACAATCTGTGTTGTGGTATTTGCTGTAAAGTGTCTCTACTGTAGGCTAATTTTATTATATGTACAGCACTTTGGCTCGACCAAAAATCGTTTATAAATGTGCTATATAAATAAAACTTGATTTGATTTGATTTAATTAGACATGTTGAGGGCTGGACCATTAACCATTATCTGAAGTCTGGTGCTGTTTTGACCCTTTTCATAGGCGTTACGACAACATCGTGTTTTATAGCGAGGGATACGCATCCCTCCATGGAAACGGCATATGGTGAGATGTCAAATTTGACTTAGAGCTGTTGAGGCATGGAGAGGTGATATACAGGTGAAGATTGGGGGACGATCGGACCGTGTCCATTGGAGTTACAGCGACATCGTGTTTTATGGTGAGGGATGCGTTTCCATGGCAACAGCCTATGGTGAGATCTCAGATTTGGCGTACAGCTGTTGAGGCATGGACCGGTGATATACAAGTAAAGTTTGGGAAACGATCGGACCGTGTCCATTGGAGTTACAGCGACATTGTGTTTTATGGTGAGGGATGCTTTTGTGTACTTTGGGGTCAATAATGTGGCCTTTTAGGCAGATTAACTAAAGGTGTGCGGCTGCTGTGGTGGGGAAAGATGAGGCTGAACTTACAATGGGGTTTAATGGAGACATGTTGAACGTTTTTGTCACTTCATGCCCTCAAGAGGCATTTTGCTTAATTTATTTTACATTTTTCAAGCTATGAGATGTTTTCCTACGTTTCTCATGAAAAATGATGTCCAAGGAGTGTAGGGTTTGGGAATTATGGCAGGTTTAAAAAATATATATATGAAGGCGAATTTCAAGCTCTCCTCCACTCTAGCGGTGACATCACGTACATACGTATGAATCAGATTTAAACGTTTTGTAACACGAATAATGTCAGAAAGATGTGTAACATTTTAAAGTTGGAATGAGGTTTCTGAGTGAAAGTATGAAGGAACAGTTAGCAGTTGAAGTTGCATGAAGATTTTTCAAGTCTGAAGAGTTTCTCCATTGACTTCCATGTTAAAAATGTGATGAATTATGGGATATATCTCGGGAATTATGAAAGTTATGAATGAGAAAAGTAGAAGCAATCGATTCCCGATGGAGCTGAACGTTTTGATGTTTGAACGGAGTTTCTGCGATGTTCAATGCGGGAGAAGAAGAGGGCCAAAATAACCCGGCGGAATAATAATAAAGAATTTTGTGCGTAGAAGAACAAGTAGTTGGAATGCTGTATCAGCATTCCAAATAAATTACAGGTGAAATGTAAAAACAACTCAGTGTGGTGTTGCTCTGACCTGGTTCCGACTGGACACCTTGCCCAGTTTCAGATTCTCCACCATCTTCTCAATGTCATCCGCAGCACTCTCAAAGAACTGCCTCAGGACGGCCTTAACAATTTCAGGACCAGATTTCATAACGGTCCTTGAAAAGAAGGACACAAAGGTAAAAAAACAAGATATGTGTAGGTATGCCTGGGGTTGTGCTGAGGGTGTGATATGAATACAGCATGAGTTACCTGGCATCCAGTGACCGTGAGAGGATGTGCAGACAGTTTACAACTGCACCTGCGTCTGTGCCTGGAAACAGCACAATAAAGAAGTGTTGTCAAAACTGTCCTAGTTATCAAATCAGCTTTCTATACGTTGTAATTGTTGTAAAGGACATTAACCCTCAAAACATTACAAACTGAAAACAGGACACACATGTGTGTTGATAAAGCTCCAAATTACATTGAGATCATGAATTTTTACTCAAAACAGATTTTTCATAACTGACCAAAATTAAAGGGGATATATCATGAAAACTCACTTTGTTGTGTTTGTGCACATACATTTGAGTATCTGAAGTGACTACCAACCCACAACTGTGAAATAAGACAACCCAGTCTGTGTTTATGATGGTTATCCAGTTCAGAAAAACATAGGATTCAACAAGCCTTTGAGATTTGGCTTCCCTTTCTATGTATTTCAACCATGGATGTATAAAGAGAACTGGATAGAGTGTTGGAGACAGGGCCTCATTCATTCCAATTTACAAAAAAACTAAACGATCCACTGATTGACAGACGTCTCTTTCCCAATGTAAGTCAATGGGAAACAGTCTTATTTGTCCCGAATGATGTCACAGGCTGCTGTAGTACCACCGTTGGCCACTATGAACATTTGCTTTAACACCCTGCTCACTTTCTTCAAACAAAGACTTGAGATCTACTTTGCAAATTGACATGCAAGCCAATCAAAGCAGACTGGGTTTTCGGGATGGTAGCTTACAGAGACAGGTGGTAAAACAGATTGTTTCTGATAAAAGGTCAAAGAAGGTACATTCAGACTGACAGTGTGAGAAAAGTAATGTGATTATTTAAAAATGAAATCACTGTAACATATTCTGGTAGAAACCCCAAATGAAAGTTTGAATCTGAAAATGTGCATCATGAGTCCCCTTTAAACATGTATAACGGTACATTGCTATACTGTGATTTAATTTGCAGTTTGACTCTTGTAGAGGATCAGTTACAGAGACAAATGTTCAACATAATGTGTTACAAACTATTAGAGACACATGGTGGTAAAGGCAGATGAGAATGAGGATACAGAAGATACTGCTTTATTATAACAAGGCTGATAAAACCATGCATACTGCATCTCTCCACACTGGTATTTATAAAAGAAGAGAACGGGTGGGAGAATGTGCACACTTCACTTGTACTTCACACCAGGCATACACACGTTTCTAAAAATAGCTACAAGTGATATGGTGGACGTGGAATATAAGATGATGTAACCTTAGCTAGTGTTTCAGTCTACAGAGCTCAGTGTAAAACGTTCATCTAAGCACCCAAGCCTTTAATGATGAATAATAAATCAACGTGACTACGGTTTGAGACACATGTCATAAATGAATTGTATTGGTGATATAAATAGCCACATCTGTTCTGATGATGTTGGGAAGATTTGGTTCAAATACTTGTTTCCTATTCCTCCCATTAACAGGTCTTATAAGTGGTACAAGAACATTATTATTGTGAGTCGCTTTGGAGAAAAAGCGTCAGTTAATTGAAATGTAATGTAATCAAATATGAATGCGCAAACAAAAGAGTGAAAATGGGGCCATTGCACGTGCAACCATTATAGCTCCATTATGATTGATAGTCATGCAACGATGTAAGTTTAAAAATCAATAAAGAATGCTTGTTTCTGTCTTTATGTGTACACAGAGTTTCAGTTGTGAATCCACAAAGAGATTGTGCGTCCGAACCAGGTTACAGAAAACATCAAAGCCAAGCAGAAGATGAGCTTAAGACAGAGAAGCATTAAACGAAGGGATCCAGTGAGAAGTCAAGAGAGAATGAGAGTGTGGGAGGGTAGAATCAGTGGTCATAAGTATATAACATTGAAGAAAGACAGAGCAAAAAAACTAAATAAATAAGACAGAAACGGAGATGGAGATAGGGCATAACACCAGCATGCAGATTCCTTACCAAAGAGAGATACTCTGTGTCTCACCAAAGCAGCCAATTTACAGAAGATACTGAGGTAGGAGGAGAAAAGAGGAAAAGGGAAAAGGAGGGGACAGCAAAACAGGGCAGGAAAGGTTTGAGAAAGCAAAAGGGAGATCAAGGTAATTGACTGGATATTGCACATAAGAAGAGAGGGATGGAGACACATGGAAGAGGGAGAGTGACGGGAGAACAAAAGACTGTACTAAAGGAGGGGTAGATGGGGATGAGTTCCAATCACAACCTTTGGAATATAAATGAAAGCGTTTAAGCTCAGTAAATACCTTGCAATCATCTCCTTCTCCTTGTTGGAGGAATGCCCTCCACTGCCCAACAACTTTGCAGGAGTGGAGAGGAAGTACAGGCAGTGGTTCTTGAAGTACTGATTCACCAATGGCAAGAGGATCTATACAAAAACAACAACCAGGGATTCAAAATTGGAGCAATACTAAAAAATACTTAGATCAGGATTCATACACTTTTTCACCAATGATTTTCAATGACTTCTCCATGACCTTTACCTCATTTTCCATGACCAAAACAATGACTCTTTCTCAGCGCTACCACTGAAAATGGTTTATTTTAACATGGAACAGGAAAATAAGGTCTGAAACATGTTGTGCCTATCTAAAACAAATCCAATAGGCTTACTAGCTCAACTCAAATCTCTCACCAGCAAAATACCTCGACAGTTAAATGCCTTTTTACGTTTCATGACTATACGATAGAGTATGTATTATCATTATAGTATTACTATTTCGGCAATTAGATAAAATATAAATTATATTTGATGCAACTTTAGTTACATTTCCATGACTTTTCCAAAACTTTGGGAAAAATATTGTTTTCCAGGGCCTGGAATTAGCATTTTGAATTTCCATGACTTTTCCAGGTTTTCAATGACCGTAAGAACCCTGTTAGATAATCACAGTTTTGCTGGATAATATTTTGAATGTTGTGCCTCTACTGGGACATTTAAACAGTCATATCTGATTGGTTAGCTGGCCGGCTCTGTTGTGAGAGGACATCTCTAAGCAGTTGACCAATCAGCGCCAGTGTAACATAGTGATGACACTATGGTATGGAGGGAACTTTGGGATTTTAGCCTTTGCAGACCATGTACATGCACAACAACCTCTAAAACACACTAAAGGGAAGGGAAACCCCTAAAAGCAGCATAGGGCCCCTTTAAGTGGGTTCAATCCCTAGAAAGTGGAGGTTCTGTACAGCTTTAATGCAGCATTGAACATCTCACCTTGGCAAAGAATTTGATCTCTTGTTCATGAGGTGACTTCTCCACTCTACCACTGCTAACCACAGCCTCTGTTCAAAAAACAAACAAGAATGAAGCAAAGTCAGTTCCTAGTCAAAAGGTGCATGATGGAGTTAACGTTACACAATTCAAGTATTGATGTTGAATTACCAAGATGGGCGATGAACTCCTGGGCGATGTCCATCCATTTCAGGAGTTTCTGGAGGAAGCCGTAGGCAAAACGCTTCTCGATGGAGGAAATGTCCTGTTCCATGTCCTTCAGTCCCCTGAGGGTGGAGAGAAGAGGGAGTAAACATGAAATAGATAGACAGAGAAACATAGATACAACTGGGCCATTCCTGTTATTCACCAACAATCCTGTCCATGATTCACTTTTCTTTCTTTACAATATGCATAATACATCATTTTCCTGTCACTGTCAATCACACATGCCAAAGTGTTGCTGCGAAACAGGTATAATCCAAATATCTTCATGTAAATGTTGAGTACTTCCTGCGTACCTTGTCACAGAGTATCCGTTAAGCTGGAGGAACTTGAGCATGTCCTGGGCCTTCTCCCTGTCCCGGGCCTTCTCCTTAGCCGTCAGGGTGTCATAAGGCACGAGCAAAGGATGGGTGCCACTGCCTAAAAGCAATAATCTAGTTACTCAACACACCACAAACTAGCAACCAATGCTTCAAATGAACTTCTCAGCCATCTTACCTTTGGCCTGCAGCTCCAGCTTCTTCTTCCTGCCCCAGGTGTTGTGATAGTTCTCTGCCAGCTGCTCGGCCATAGACTGGACGGAGAGAGGGAGAAAATGAAAATGGTCAGGCTCCTTTCATATGAGATCTATCAGTGCTGTGACAGAGAGATTCGTACCTGCAGCTCTCTGGACAGAGCCATTCCTGCGATGTCTATTGGCTGAGGGTTGTAGCCCTGACTGGGGTCATACGTGGCCTGCAGACAAAAACACACCATACAGACAGATTATTATCCATGGGAGGTTTATTGACTAGAGGACACCAGAGGGTTCCCGTAAAAAAGCTTGAACTTCTTCCATTTCAGTACATACAAGTGCAGAATGTTTAAGAAACACCGATATCAAAATGTATTAGTACAAGTAGGTATGATTATTCATTTCCTTCAACTTTTTATAGCCCTGGAGTGAAAACTAAGTGTCACATTATCATATTAGATTCCATTGGATTTAAACAACTTTAAACAATAAATATGAGTCACTTTAATTGTTCTATTATTATTTATTTTCATTCTTTATTTTCTTTGAATCTTTCAAATAAATGTCTCTAAGCAAAGGATAAATAAGGTCTCATCAGATAAGTTATTTTGTATTTTTGTCATGAATTACTACTTATTGTATTTGTAGTAAAAGTGTGATATCAATTTGTATGAAATGTTTGAATTGTCATTTATGGTGATTGTTTTTGTTTCACTACCATTCTTGATCTTGTCAAGATCAGTTGTTTTGTTTGTTGTGTTAATGTGCCTTGATGTATACATGTGTGTTTGACCGCACCAAGAATAGCCAGTGCTAATGCTAGTGCTAATGGGAATCCTTATAAAGAAATAAGACCGTAATAGATCTCTCATTGTTTTGTTGTTCTCTTTCGTAATAACCATCCTTTTCTAGACGCCAAAAAGGACACACAGCATCAAACACAAATACCCATCTTTTCCCCCCTCTCTCCTGTACCTGAGCAGTTTGGGAGATCTTGCGTGTGACGGCCTTCTTCTCCACTTCCCCCTCCCCATCCCTGGCTTTATCTAGAGTCCACTCCCAGGCCAACATGGCTTTCATGGATTCCTTGATGGGCCAACGATAAATCTCCTTGTCCTGAGAAACAAAGAGGATTTTATTGAAAATGGAGCATTTAAACAATATATTTTATTGTCAAAAGATCCTAAACACATTAGAATTAGAGATGAAATGTTCTGCAACACTGGTTTCATCTAATCAGAAAGCACATTTAGGTATCTGTAATAGATACACGTATGTATTCACTTATTTAAAGTTTAGTACCTGTGTACGGTGCTGAAATTGTCAAAATAATGTTGGAAGCCCCAAACCTTTAACTAACATGAAGATTAAGGCTACATACACTATGTACAGGTTTAACAGAGTGTGAATCTGCTTCTGCCTGAGACATATCAACTCAGCATCGATACTGCTCAGGGCTCATTTTTTGAAAATTCTCTTTGAATAGACATGGGCTGCATCTCACTTCGGTTAAATGGATTCCTTGCGTCCCTCACTTGCGTCGTTTCCCTGCGACTAGTCCCTCCCACCAGGGAAGCATGGAGAGACGCAAGGGAACCACGAGAAGCAGGGAAATGAGTTTTAAGAGCAATGGGACGTCCTTTCCTCCGGAGCGTCACGTGAAGCGACGTCCGTTTGTGATGACGCCGCACAGCTGATCGTCTGACAGCAGCCAGATCAGTGCATGCGCTGCATCGTCCAATCAGTGAGTGATACACAGTAAGGGGGCGGGGCGAATATCTGAGGATTTCACCGGAGGATGGTAGTTGCTCGATTATCGCTCCTCGATCCTCGGTCCTCCGACAAAAATAAGGCCACTGGGACGCTACTCAAGATGGCGCAGACAAATCAACTTCCGGTGATGCCGAGCCCGAGGAGCGAGGAAATGAAAAATAACCGAAGTGAGACGCACCCATGGTTTTTTTGTAAAAGGAAATTAGCTGGAAGCTCACTCTCAAACACATATAATACAACTGAAGAGGTAGTTGAAAGCTGAATACATAAGCCAATACTCTAGAGACAACCCCTGGAAGTCGGGTTGGAAGAAATACTTGTCACATTGTAACAGGACAAGCATACAACCCTGTAGAATCTGGGAGCCGTTTCTCTAAAAGAAACCATCCTACTCATTTGGATAGGTAGAAATGAAAAGAACTCAGTGCCGTACTCTCCTGCTTAAAGGTAAACTGCCACATATACTTAGCTAGTGCCACGCCTCATTACAGATACTTAAACAGCAGAGGTACATTCTCTGCCTTAAAACAGCAGTTAAGTTAGTAGAGTAATATGGCGATCCAGAAGGAATCTGAGCCTGGCTGTAAACTTGTATCGACTCAATAGCTAGTTAGGTCAATCAGCAGGTCTGATTATTAAACAGACATTAACTCATGCCCGCTGACGCCACAGCACATTATTAGGATTAAGATTGAAGGATACGTACCTTTTCAGAGAACGTTTTGTAAGGTCGGAGCATCGGGTGGGTCTTAGAATTCTCATCCAACACCTCTCCATAGGTCCAGTTGTTCTGAATCTGAGAGTCGACACAACCATTGAGATCATTATTACAGATTACTAACCATTAAAAAACAAACAGGGACTTCATTCGTATCTGATGATCTTCCCCAACTGACCTTTTCAAAGGCCCATCTGTCATGAGTGTGCTCTGCGTACTTGTTGATGAAGGCGTCCAGCCTCTCGGGGATGATGGTGCTGTGAAGAAATGAACTCATATTAAGTGTGAGGTTATGAATTGACTGTACATTTCAAATATTTTTATTATTGTAGGAGACATTTCCTTAGTTTGAATTCTTTATCATTTGGAACATGTGGTTTCTCCATTTGTTGTGTTTGACATCGTCATTTTATTTTCCTTAACTACTTCATATTTTTAGTATTTGTTTTTTAAAGCTTTACAAACTTACATTTACAGCTCAAAATAATTTCCTAAAAATCAAATCTAAATCTAAAAAGGGCATAACAACATCATTTTTAGTTACAAGTTCGAATTGATGTTTTGCTATTGTTATATGTATATTGTGTCTTTGTGCTCACTTGGTGGTCTCCACTGGCTTTGGATCAAAGTTTCCCTCAGCGTCCACAGAGGCCTTCTTCTCAGTGGCGGAGGAGAAGGTGGCGTCCACGTAGTCCGGAGGGATGGCTCCAGCTATGGCACAGAGGCACGGCATGGCGATCTTGAAGAGCTCTGCGTCATATTTCTAGAGCCGGGACGACATCAGAGGAGTCACGTTGATGATGACACACGCTTAAACCTGTGCAATTACAGAATATCAACATGCCAACATGTGTGGACAACCAGAGCGTCCATCTCACCTTGTGTGCCAAAGACTCAAAGATTCCCCAGAAGAGTTTACGAGTAAGATGCAGCTCCTCCTCTGAGGTCACCCCGAAGTTAGCCCATCCGTTAGGCAGGCAGTAGTACCTCCAACAGCGCTCATAGTGATTGGTCAACAGCTGAAATCATAGATGGAAACACAATGAGCACACTTTTTAATAATTGGTATTTGCAAGAAAGCTAATTATTCGTAATATCTGTATACAACAACTGTACTGCAATAACCACTGTAACATAGTCCACGTGTCGGTAATGCATTTCTTCTGCACTTTAAACACAGGTTGGTTAGATTGTCCATGTTGCATTATTTATTTTACTGTTCGATTGCAATTTTAACATGTGATGCAATGTTATACATTCAATACAATGAAATAGCAGACAGACCTTAAGAGGCATCTTGGCGTATTCGTTGAGGATGGGAACATCAAACACCAGCCGTCTGAGCAGGTGCTGCAGCATGGAGGGCCGGAGGTACCTGTGATGTCATAAAAAGGCTTTATGAGGAATGTTATTACCAATGTTTCACATGGGATGTGATTATTCCCTTTCGGGGTCGTTTGATACAATATGGTGGTCGATTCATGGTAACAATCATATTTGCTCTCCTGGCCATGGTTGGGGTCAAAGACTGTGTGAATACAATCCTTTAGATGTCTAACTAGCAGAAGCATGTTCTCTACACAGATAGCCTGGGTCTGGCACTGACTTGCAGAGCGACACGAGGCACTCCTCGATGACGTCCCTCTGAGCCTTGGTGAGGGCTCGGCCGCGGGACAGCCGGTAGATGGTGTGCAGCATGGAGTCGATCATGATGGCGCGGTGGTCCGTCCCAGCATACAGCGGGGCACACTTGGTGAGCAGAGGCAGGACAGCCGAGCAGAGGTAGCGGTTCAGGGCCAAGGCCATCTCAGTGGTGCTGAAGGCCAGCTATAGTCACAGAGGAAGACAGGACATGTATTCATATGAATGCAATACTTACAGACAGTGGTGCGAGTAAATAAGTACCCAGATCCGAAACCCAGGTTCTACTTAAGCCCAGCTGCCCGGAGTCACGGGGCCTTCGCCACTCTCTCCAAGACTCCTGTGGGGAGACTCTCGCCGGGATCCTTTCCCCTCGCCCAGCCTCTCATTATTTGTGTTGTTTTTGGTGTTGCCACAATAAATGTGCCGTGGTTTTTGGAAACCCTTGAACGTCTCTCTCTCTCTTTCCGTTGTGGCCACGAGCCGGTCATAACAACTGGGACTCGTCTATCGTGAGTATGAACCGGGAGTTAGTTGGGTTGTTTTGGCGTTGTCTGTACCTGAATTAGCCTGTGTTGGTGGCTAGCTGGAAGCGGGTGCAAGGGAGCACGTATCGCCCATGTGAATGTTACGTCACGTGTCGGGATTCCCTCTGATGACAGTGACGTATGTGGCCTTATATGGTGATGTGTATGCACTCTAGGGGTGCCTAGGCGTTACTTTGGAACGCGTATGGTCCCGGGTTTTGTGAATTTACTGAATATACACTCTTTTTGGGTTTTAATATTGTTTTTATGGGCTGCTACTTTAATTCAGACTGGGACAACAGTGTGGAATTATCCTTGTTATATGGACAACATTAACACATTTAGAATGTGTTAATGTTGTATTCATGTTTGTTTGCCTTTCTTACTTTTATTTAAATGTTAGTCTACTCTTTATGTTTGCATTGTGTCTGCACTGTGGCTTTGCTGTTCTACTGAAATCCCGCCTAGTGGAACAAATAAAGGATTTCTGATTCTGATTACTCAAGTACCATACTTAAGTCAAATGTTGAGATAATTGTACTTTACTTGAATATTTCCATTTAATAGTAATTTATACTTCAACCCCACTACATTTAAGAGGTAATGCTCTTTAGGAGAGTGTGTGTGAGAGAGAAACTCCCATCATCCTATCATTTACATCATTACAAAAACCTATATAACACACTACAGAAGAGGGAACACCACAACAAGCATAATAGGGCCTTTTTAAACTCTCCATTACCACTCATAGTCACGCTTTACAGATAGAAACCCATGATATATGATATAATGCTGCACTACTAATAGACCCAGTATTTTAAAGTATATCAAACTGGCTCCACATTGACAAACTTCAATACAAAATATGTATGTGTTGGTAATACAAACAGGATAATATGATAATACATTCTGCTCTGCAAATTGAGTACTTTTTGATACCCAGTACATTCACCTGAATTCAGGACTTTTGCTTGTAATGGAGTATTTAAAGACCAGAGTATTTCTACTTGATTTGAGTAGGAGGTGAGTACTTCCTCCCTCTCAGCTCACAGATGAGTAAGCAGTGACCCCTGTGGTTTAGCTCGTGGTGTGTGTGTGTGTGTGTGCGTGCGTGTGCGTGTGTGTGTGTGTGTGTGTGTGTGGTGTGTGTGTGTGTGTGTGTGTGTGTGTGTGTGTGTGTGGGTGTGTGTGTGTGTGTGTGTGTGTGTGTGTGTGTGTGTGTGTGTGTGTGTGTGTGTGTGTGTGTGTGTGTGTGTGTGTGTGTGTGTGTGTGTGTGTGTGTGTGGGTGTGTGTGTGTGGGTGTGTGTGTGTGTGTGTGTGTGCTCACCGTGTCCAGAGAGGCTGCAGCCCTCATGTCGGGCAGGAAGCCGACCTCCAGCACGTGCAGCAGGAAGTCCTGGTTGTCGATCCCGTACACTCTGTCCAGGAACAGCACCATGGAGGCTTTGTGGTCCGGGACGAAGCTGGCTGACATCTTCGGCTCAAGGATCTGAGTATCTGAGGTTTGGAAACAAATCAATCATATAAGGCCAAAATATATTCAAACAGTATACGCTTACAAGATTCTGTCCAATATACAGATATGAAACAGATTTAACATCAAAATGTGACGTGAAAAAGGTTTACTGTTGGTCTAGAAGATTACAAATATTGGTTATATTAGATTAGACATACTTTATTGATCCCATATTGGGAAATTAACTAAATTAACAAAATAAAAAAATAGAATAGAATACTAAAATAAAAGAGCAATATCCTACCTCACTGCATTTAAATTGTAAATGTTTGTAAATTAAAATTACTTTGTATATTTTATAAAATATATAGTAGCCTATGTTTATTATTTTTGTTTAGTAGTAGATTTCTAAATGTTAGCGTATTCAAACTTATTCTGTAAATATTTCATATTGGGCATTCTCTAGATCAGGGGTCGGCAACCTGTTTGATATTAAGTGCCATCAGAAATGTAAAGAATTGTCAACGGGGGGGGGGGGGGGGGGGGGGGGGGTGAGGGGGTGAAGAGCTCGACGCTCGTGAACTGTCTACAGGGGGAGCCTCGCTGCGGGGAAGCAGTGACCTCTTTCATCTGTCAGCGCAATTTACATGATGCCGCTCACACAAATTAAAATAATTGGTTTAAACGGCATAATAATAAGGACGATCGTCCGTTCTGTGATTCTCCAGAACACACAGATGGCCAGTCCGCCCCTTTGTAGCATATTATTTCGATGAGAGATGAGCAGATCGCCTCTGGGCTTTCAACTAAAGACACAGCCACGCAAAAACTGCGGCATGTGTACAGGTCCTTATGGGTACTGCAAGTGCTTTCCTCTGTGGTGAAACGATCTGCACCACGGAGGAAAGCGGCAGAAAGTCGCCTGGAGTCAAAGAGAGCGGGGCTGCGTTGCGTGCATGGCTTCCTTCTGCAGGGAACGGGGAGACGCGCTCTGGCGGCGGTCTCGTTCAGGATCCGAAAATAAAATGTTAATATTTTGCACACTTATTCCTAGTGTGCCACTGGTTACGGTGCCGCGTGCCAATGGTGGCAGTGCCAGGGGTTGCCGAGCCCTGCTCTAGATACTCTATGGATATACATATTTCAATCATATATAATTGAATTGTAGTTATACGATAATTATAATTGTGATATTGGTATTTCCCCTGTTTATCTTAATAATAATGTATTTATTCTATTCATTTGAAACAACTGAAAACAGATGTTGGTGCTCAGAAAAAGGCACCATGTGGACACTACAGAAGTGCACAGTTCTCAGCAATTCATTGACCTAATCATTCATATATTGCTGATACTATTCAAGAAATAGTTCTCCACAATTCCAACTTGAGTGTCTCACCTTTGCCGTAGGCAGGGATCTGCACAGAGAGGCTGATGACCCCCACCAGGTCCTCTATGGGCACCAGAGACCTCAGGATGGCCCGGATCCTCAGAGCTTCACCCTTTCCTGCTTGGATCAGCTGTAGAAAAGAAGATTCCACACACACTGTATGAGACTAAAGTGCAGCAACCACATACTGTACAGAACAAATGTGCCCAGAGACAAAGCCGCTAAACTAACATGCATCTCAGGGGCGCAGCGACCCAGCAGATCGATGAGGGCGGAGTAGAAGGACATGATGGCGTTCCCCAGGTGGACGCGGTTCTCCTCCTGCTGCTCCTCACCACCAAACCTGCCAATAACAAAAAACAGGCTTTCATATCATTTTGATCAGGAAAGCTTGAACGTTACATTTAGGTCAGTTTATTCATATAGCACATTTCATACACACAAGGCAAATGCTCTAAATAGAAATACAAAAAAAACATTCATAATAGAGAAGGTTGTTAAAAATCATTTTATGCTGAAAGGGGTACAGAAGTATAATAATAAAATGTTGTTGAACAACCTCTGGAAAAGTAGTTGTAACAAGGTTTTTAGCCTCAATTCAGAAAAAAATGTAAGGTTGGGGCCAACGTCAGATGTTTTAACGTTTATTCCAGATAAAACCAAAATCTTCTTCTATGTTTTTTGTTCTAGCTCTGGGCACAATGAGTAACACTTCATAATGCCCGAACGGCAACAAGCGCTCCGTTCCCAGCTGTGTGCGTCACTTTTTAGTGTCCCCTGGTTTCCAGTGTCTTTTGAGCTTCTTGCAGCGTTTTGTTTTTATAGCGCTTTGAATAAACACTGGGCATGTGTTGTCAAGTTGGTGAAGACGTTTCTTCATCTGTTTTGGCACATTTGTGATTTGATATTTGCATCGTTTCTGAAGCACAGCTCATTTGTCTCTCCTAATGGAAGTGTGTCTGGCCGTCGTAGCTCCATCCTTGAAAACAAAACAGGCACTACACACTGATCATTCTTTTCTTTTAGACTGTTATATGTAGGGCTGCAAGATTGAGAAAACATTTGTAATTGCTATTATTTCGACTGATATTGCAATTGTGTCAGGAGTAGGGTTGCAAAATTCCGGGAATTTTCAAAGATGGAAACTTTCCACGGGAATAAACTGGGAATTTTCTAAATTGAAGGCTGGCTCTTCACAGGGAACTTAAATATAGTTGGGGAAAGTATGTTTTAGCATAATCTTGACTAAAACAAAGAGATGCCGTTCAAGTACACTTGAATATCCATGCCATAGCACACTGCTTACTGCATGGCTATTGAGACCGCACCCCCTACAGGCACTGTGCATTCCTCCATCACATGCACAGATGAGTAATGTTTAACTCAACATTCCTGTTTTCGTTCTTCAATTAAACAAATAATTGTTCAATAAAATAATTAAAACTGAAAAATCTGAAAAATCTGTTGAAATGTCATGTTTTTTGTTTAATTTTGCATCGAATATTTCCAAAATTCCCCAGCTTAACTTCCCATGGAAACTTTCGGAAATGTTCCGCCCCTTTGCAACCCTAGTCGTGATTCACGATATTGGGGGTATTTATAATTTTTGCATCATAATTCTCATTAACATTGAAAATATGTGGTGTGATTTCTAAAGACATGTCTGCAAGACTCTGCTTTTTAGGCCGGGATCTCACTACAGCTCCACAATACTTCTTTCAAAATTGTATTTGAACACTTATTTAGGGAATATTCTGCTTACTGCAGTTCCAATTCAGCACTAGTCCATATTGCAATTTCACTCACATGTGAATGAATTGTGGAACCCTGGTTATTTGTATTGTGTTGTCACACACTGAGAGGTAAACATCCCTCTATCCCGCCATCACTCACATGAAGCGTCGGTCCTTTTTCACCGTGGGTCCGTCCCTGGCCGGGTCCTCTGAGATCTTGATGGCCTCCTCCATGGCAGCCAGCAGACCGTTCCCCCCCTCCCCTCTCAGGGCAGGGCCGAAGCACTCGGGCCGACGGATGAGCAGACGCACCACCACGTTGGCGTTCTCCTCCACGCTCTCTCCTGTAGGGAACAAACGTTAGTGGCTGTTAGGATCTGGGCTTTTGTGTTTCCAGTTTTATTTTGTGAGATCACTTTCTTTGTCTACACTTCCTTCCCCGCCTCTGCCCTGCTCTGATTCTATCCAACTGTGTGTACTGACCTGCCCTTGTGTTTTGCCTGCCCTCTCCAGCTTATCTATTTCCCAGTTTTACTCTGTGGGTTTATGCTCAATGATTCGATCAGGATTATTCCTCGTGTTCCTGCATTGGGTTTTATTTGGCTGTTTTCCCTTGTGTTGTATGACCTTGCCTGACCCTCTGTTTTTTTGTGTTTATCAGCTTTTGTTAAATAAAGCTCACTTCCTCAAGTTCCTCATACCTGCTTCCCTTTTTGTATGCGTTTGGGTCCTGCTTAAACCTGAAAGTAACCCTAACCCAAAACATAAAAGTAATCATTAGAGCGGAGGGTGCTGACCGTTCACAAAGACAGCGAAGCGCAGGAAGTCCAGGTATCTCCCCCCTCCGCAGGGGTTCCAGCCGATGTCAGGGTAACCCTTAGAGAGGAGCATGGGACACATCTGCAGACCGCAGCCCGCCAGGTATGTCACTACCTACAGAACCATGGAGGAGACACCAGGAGAGAGTATGAGAGAACTGGACACTTCAATGTGTTGTTTTCTTTTGTCATGTTTGTGTTTTCTCAAACCATTTCCAGGTCCTGCTCTTGAAGAGCCAGCGCCAGCTCGTTGTTGTCGATGCAGGAAGCTGCAGCCACGTCCAGAGGGGTGGATCCTCGCATGCCTGCAGAGGTAAATAAGGTAAGTCTTTCTCTGTGTGTTCTTTGCCTTACTTTGTCATTCTGTATTCTCTATTAAACACTAAACTCCAGCAAGTGCACTTCCCTCTGTGACGGCCAATCAGCTCGCTACCCCCTCATTGCGAGTGAGACCTTTGTTCTCCTCTGCAAAAACATGCCTGTTTGCTATCCTGGCTACTCAATGGTAGAATGATGAACGTAATGTAAATATTTGTCAAAAGAAGTGGATGATTTTTCCTGTGGTCAAATATTTTGTTTGTTTTCAGAGGAGATTCACAGCAGGTCACCTTAAACAGAACCTCCAATGATAGGGAAAGTTAAGAATGTAATCTTTACAAGAACACCTGTTTTGAATCCAATGCCCTATGAGCAGTGAAGCAGAGAGCCTGGTACTGACCCAGGCCGATGCCGCTGTTCTGCAGCAGGTAGCTCAGGTGGTCAAACATGGAGCGCTGGTTCTGTCGGCTGATACGACAGAAGTAACACAGGAAACGACAGCAGTTGGTCACCATCTGGGGGAACCGGATCTCCTGGAGAGAGAAAGAGAAAATATATTAATAATAAGTTACAAAAAAGCTGTTTAACAACAAATAATCCACTCAAAAGATAAAAAAAGACACAATTAACAAATACAAGAAAATCATTAAATACAATACAATGAATAAAACAGTCAAACAAAACGACTAATAGAAGGGGGATGTTGCCAGTTTTCAGGTGTCGTTTAAAAATGTTGACTGAGTAGACTGACTAGAGAATAAAAGCTGATTCACTCATTTTATTTCGGGGAATCAAAATCTAAAAGAACTACTAGACTGTAAATGTAACATTTCAGACAAATAAAACAAAGCATTACAATTACCTTGGAGTCTCCTCCTCCGCCCAGCACATTAACCATCACCTCCATCACAGTCTCATGCATACCCAGGGCTCGCATCAGGTTGGGGTGCTGGTAGAACACCTTGTTGTTCATGATGTTCCTGAAAGAATACAACAACAAAAACACCAGTCAGACCCACTGCTTGGGTTCGGATGACACAACAAAACAATAGATGGAGATATTAGGGCAGGGTGAGCCGAAAGCATTTAACAAAAACATATTACTCAGTTAGAAAAGCAATAACTTGTTTTTGTATTGTACTGTGCTGATGTTGCTTGTTTATTGTGTTTTTGCTGTTTATTGTCTGAAAGAACTGAGTAGTGGGAAAAAAACACATATAACTCAAGGGACTAACCCTAACCCCCCCACACTGACCCGATGCTCTGGATCATGAGGCGCTCCTCCTCGGGGCCCATCTGGACGATGAGCAGCGAGCGGATCTGCCCCAGACACTCCAGAAGGTCCATGGTGTCCTGCACGGAGATGGCGTTGATGGCGTAGGCTTTGGGCAGCACTCGGATCAGCTCCCCCAGGCCGTCGTACTGCCGGTGCAGCAGGCTGAACATCAGGCGCACCAGCTCCGGGTTCTGGATGAACGACTCCTGGGCCCAGTGGATCATGGTGTGGGAGATCAGCTCCTGGAGCGAGTCTTAGGAGAGGTGGACACAGAGAGGGAAAGGTTGTTATGGGTTACACAGCCATTTAATCAAGTCTTATGGAACAGGCCGGTTCTTACTGGGCTTCTGCTCCTCCTCCACCTCCGGCTCTTCCTTCTCCTCCTTCTTGCGCAGGCTCTTGATTATATCCACCATACTGATGAGTCTGCCCCTCAGTGAGGAGTCCACCTCCTTTTCCTCCGCCTCCTCCTCCACATGAATACCTGTTGAAAATAGGAATTCAGCATTAAGAGGAGACGCTAGATCATTGGGAAAGAAATGGGCCAAACAACTTCCTCAGTCGATTACAAACACAATGACAATTTGTTTTGTATTCGACATTCTTCATAACTCAGTTTTTACTTACATTTGTAAGTATAAATATGCAAATCACTTTATGAAATCACTTTTTTCTTTAAGGAATTAAATGCTATATTATTAACCTTGAATATTTAGAAATGAATGACATTTTACAATGTTGTATAATAAAAAGTTATTTTGAGAAAAGAGCGTTTAAAGGTATATATTCTAATTTAGTTTGCAAGACGCTAAAGGTGAATAGGGTAGAATATTGAACTAATAATATTATATTTCATACATTGATATAAGACAGTATTTTTCACATTAGCTTTCTGATTTTTATTAACGATCCATATGACGCATTCACTTTTGCTACCTTTCGGTGAATTTTGAAAAAAGACTCAAATGAACAAAGTTATTCAAATAAACCCATAAATGTGTAGTGTGGATGTTTACTTTGCGCTGGTCTTAAAGAAGCCATGATATAGAATCTAAATAACCCTAACTCTCAACATGTACCAGCATTGGAAAAACAATGGAGCCAATAAAACCCACAGCATCTCTAAAGAGCGCCTCACCGCAGTGCAGCAGCAGGTCGATGTGGAACTCCACCAGAGTGTCCCGCGTCTCCTCAGGCACCGGGCTGAACTCGTCCTCTGGACTGTGCTTGAACTTGGTCAGCAAAAGAACCTTGAGAGGAGACAAACAAGAACATATTTTGTCTGCTTTGCTTTTTCTCTCCTTTGCACAAGACTTTTTATTCCATTACATTTCAGGGGTTTCTTGTTGTTTTTCATGACATAAGTGACCTGCTCTATCGAAATCAGTCACATTGACCCGAAGACACATTTTGAGTTGTATACATTGTTGGAAAGAGGATATTCCTAGCTTTCTAATGATATCAGGATTGTTTTTGTACTCCAAATATTAAGCAAGATATGTCACATTATATAATGACTGTCACCGAGTCATCATTTTGAGAAAAAGGCCTTCAAAGTTTTCTCTTCTCTGGAATCCATCGATCTGATTGGTTATTAGCAAATGATCAAAGTAGTACGGAGGCAGAGATGGGGACTCGAGTCTGTGACTCGGACTCGAGTCGCACTTAAGTCGCACAAACAGAGACTTCAGACTTGACTTGGACTCCTGCTCAAAAGACTTCGGACTCGACTTGGACTCGTGTTTTGGGACTCGTGAACAATCATTGTGTTTTCTATTTTTGGCGTATTAAAGGTGGGGTAGGTAAGTTTGAGAAACCAGCTCGAGATCGCTAGAATTTGAAAATACACAACCGGAGAAAATCTGCCACTTCCTTACAGAGCCCCTCCTCCAACACACACGAACGCGCACATGACCAATGAGGGCACGAGATACGTTTGTGCCCCGATGGTAGGCTGACAGGCGGGTATTATATGGCTCTGGGGTAGGCCATCCAGTTACTTTAGCCGGGCCGGCTATCGGGATGTTAAGAGCATTCCATGGAATATAACAAAAAGTGTATCTCGAGCCGGTTTCTCAAACTTACCTACCCCACCTTTAACATTAACATCATGGTAACACCATGGCGACCGCTTGCAGGTTCAACTATAAAAACTTCGAACAAAACGCCGGCGGCACCAACAAAAGGAGCGCACACTGCAAAGTCTGCAATATTAAAATCAAGGATGCTGGTGCAACAACGTCAAATGTCATCAGGCACTTGAAAACTCACCCGGAGAGGTCAGTCACATTAACGCATATGGACGGTTAGCAAACATGTTTAGCTCAGCATTAGCTATGTAATGTTAACTTAGCTTGCTACTAGCTTTGTAACTGAATATTTGAAAAGATGAGTGAATGTTTGCTTGTCACACTTGTTTGCGTTGAGTGGCGTTGACATCCAACTCTTGACATGACATAAAAAAGGTCGGTAACGTTAATCATTACGTTCCGATGCTACCATCTACTGGCTAACGTTAAACGTAGAAAAATACATAGTTACATACATAAATACATCTGTCGGTTTATAGGCAGGTTACAGGTTTATTGTTGACCACGTAACGTTAATGTTACAGGTTTATCAGGTTACCATTACACTGGGTTTGAGTGAGAGGATAGAGGAATATGTTTATTTATCCATCCATCCATCCATCTTCTCCCGCTTATCCGTGGTCGGGTCGCGGGGGTAGCAGTTCCAGCAGAGAGCCCCAAACTTTATTTTCCCTGGCGACATCAACCAGCTCTGACTGGGGGATCCCAAGGCGCTCCCAGGCCAGCGAAGAGATATAATCCCTCCACCTGGTCCTAGGTCTACCCCTTGGTCTCTTCCCAGCTGGACGTGCCTGGAACACCTCCCTAGGGAGGCGCCCAGGTGGCATCCTAACTAGGTGCCCGAACCACCTCAACTGGCTCCTTTCGACGCGAAGGAGGAGCGGCTCAACTCCGAGTCCCTCCCTGATGACCGAACTTCTCACCTTATCCCTAAGGGAGACACCAGCCACCCTGCGGAGAAAACCCATCTCGGCCGCTTGTATCCGCGATCTCGTTCTTTCGGTCATGACCCATCCTTCATGACCATAGGTGAGGGTAGGAACGAAAATGGCCCGGTAGACAGAGAGCTTTGCCTTCTGGCTCAGCTCCCTTTTCGTCACAACGGTGCGGTAAAGCGACTGCAGTACCGCTCCCCGCTGCTCCGATTCTCCGGCCCATCTCATGCTCCATTGTTCCCTCACTCGAGAACAAGACCCCGAGATACTTGAACTCCTTCACTTGGGGTAAGGACTCATTCCCTACTTGAAGTGGACAGTCCATCGGTTTCCTGCTGAGAACCATGGCCTCAGATTTGGAGGTGCTGATCCTCATCCCAGCCGCTTCACACTCGGTTGCGAACCGATCCAGTGAGTGCTGAAGGTCGCAGACCGATGAAGCCATTAGAACCACATCATCTGCAAAAAGCAGTGGTGCAATCCTTAGTCCACCGAACTGCAGACCCCCTCCCCCACGACTACGCCTCGAAATCCGATCCATGTATATTACAAACAGGATTGGTGACAAAGCGCAGCCCTGGCGGAGGCCAACCCTCACCGGAAATGTGTCCGACTTACTGCCGAGGACCCGGACACAGCTCTCGCTTTGGGAGTACAGAGATTGGATGGCCCTGAGTAGAGACCCCCTCACCCCATACTCCCGCAGCACCTCCCACAGTAACTCCCTGGGAACTCGGTCATACGCCTTCTCCAAGTCTACAAAACACATGTAGACCGGATAAGCGTACTCCCAGGCCCCCTCCAGGATCCTTGCGAGAGTAAAAATCTGATCCGTCGTTCCACGACCAGGTTTATTTATAGTAGACTTAAAAGATGTCATTAGAGACCCAGTGTAATTAAACAATACGGTTGCAGAGGTCACATTTTAACATTTTTGTCCACTGGCCAAATGGCTAGCCTAGTGAATGTTGAAATGTTACCAGCTACTCAATAGATTGCCATTGTTATTTGTGGCTGGTGCGTGCAACATACAGTACCAGCCACTTGCATGATTTACCAGCATTTGGCTGGTAAATGGTGTTAATGGTAGATATCTCTTTTGGAACAGGTCATGTTTTAATATCACCAGTTCAGTATATTTCAGATAATATTGCAGCAATAGTTTTTTAGTTGCAAATGGCACAGAACAAATGTTTACTTTTAAGTACTTTTAACACAGTTTCCCTGTGGGGGATTAATAAAGTATTTGTGATTCTGATTCTGAAGTGTTTTGCTTATAAGTTGTTTGCATTTAGCTAAAGTGTGATGTTTTTCCTCATATTGCATTGCAATAGCCTGTTTAAAGTGATCATATAACAAACAACTAATCAGTACTGATACTGTATGCTAATAGATATAGGAGTGATAATAATACAGTACATGCTTTGAATTTCTTAGATATAGCTGTGCAGTATTCTTAACAGACTGGATAGCAGCAGACAATAGAAGGCTTATTACAAACAGAAGAGACATGAGACTTTTATTTTTTAGAGACCTGAGACTTGACTTGGACTCGTGACCAAAGACTTGAGACTTGATCAAGTCTCACCCCACAAAGACTTGAGACTTGACTTGGACTCGTGACCAAATACTTGAGACTTGATCAAGTCTCACCCCACAAAGACTTGAGACTTGACTTGGACTCGTGACCAAAGACTTGAGACTTGATCAAGTCTCACCCCACAAAGACTTGAGACTTGACTTGGACTCGTGACCAAAGACTTGAGACTCGATCAAGTCTCACCCCACAAAGACTTGAAACTTGACTTGGACTCGTGACCAAAGACTTGAGACTTGATCAAGTCTCACCCCACAAAGACTTGAGACTTGACTTGGACTCGTGACCAAAGACTTGAGACTTGACTTAGACTTGCAAAAAAAGACTTGTGAACATCTCTGTACGGAGGGAAGATATTTTAGTTTGGATTACTGGTCTGGGGGAAGCTCGCGAGTGTGTGTGTGTGTGTTTGTGTAATTTTGCATTTGTGTGTATTGTGTTTGTTTCCCGGGGAAAACCCTCACGAGAAACACCGGCTGTTGTTATGCCTGCTGTGACGTTAAGTTACTCCGTTCTCCGCTTGTAATTATGCCGAAGCTTCAACGTTGTATTTATCATCTGAATTTGCCGAAACAAGTTTAATATTCTGAAAGCCAAGACTTTGTTTATTTGAAATTTACACAAATCCACGTTTATTTTGAAATGAGCCGTTGCGACTGCCGACTGATTTCGATAGAGCGGGTCACATTATATGCAAATCTTTTCATCAGATCTTTACAAACCAACCCCAATAATGTTTACATATCAATGGGGCACAGGTTATTTTCTTTTTTTCTTTTACTATATCATTATTCATTTGTTAATATGTAAAGTCAAGTTACATCAAAGTTAGGTGAAGCAGGAGGGTCCAGTTTATGGTTATGAGTTATCTAATTCAATGTTTTACGATCAAATCTTATGGCAAAATAATTACAAACTTTATTATAAATTAAGTTCCAAATGTACAGTATAAAATAAAAAATGTCACGTCTCATGCGAAGAATTTAACTTCATCTTTTTGCTCTAGTTTTATTTTATCATGTTGCTTTTATTGTACATTGTAGTCTGTCCAAATACATATGATTTGTTAAGGGAACTGAAGAAAGACCATATTATAATTAGTGATTAAAATAAATGTGTATAATCTTTTACTAAATGATTCCTAAACTTTGATTTGAATTGTTCATCAGAATGATACTTTTGGGCTCAGTCCATTCCATATTTCAACACCCATTATCAATAAACAGTGTGGTTGTTCTGTGGCGCTTTCTAAGTGTTAACTCGTGGGAGGTCAATTATAGACATCCAATTTTTAAAGCACATATTTGGTTATTCTTCATTTCAAAATGAATGTACCTGGTCCTGAGGCGGAGAGCGGAACTCCCGGGTCTGGCGGGCGGTCTCAGCAGCCGACATGCTGAAGGCTCTCATCAGCAGGTTGTAGCGGACGCGTTGGTTCTTTTGGATATCGTTGACGAACTCATCTGAATATGCAACGATGGCTTCCACTCTGTGGCGCAGCTCGCAGTCGCAGAAGTACTGCAGGAGAGTGCACATCTGAGGGGGGGAGAAGAGTTTCAAATCCTCAGTAGGATCACATTCGACAGATATTTAAAGGATTTAGGATATTGGTAATAAAATCTATTGACCTGCAGCTTGACAGACTCTGGTAGCTTCATCTGCAGTAACCCCTCCTCCAGACCCTCCTCTTCCTCTTTGGCTTCTGCCTCCACTGCCTCCTCCTTCTTCTCCTCCTCTGCCTTCTCTACCTCCAGCTTTTCTCCTTCCGCCGCCTCCTTCTCCTCTTCTCCTTCCTCCTTAGGCTCGGCTCCTTCCTCCTTCGGCTTTCCTTCTTCCAACTCTTTCAGCTCCTCCTCCTCTTCGTCTTCGTCATCCTCATCCTTCTCTTCCTCGACCTCAGCAGCTCCACCCTCCTCAGCTCTCTTTCCCTCCTTCTCCTCCACTTCCTCTTTCCCACTGAACACGTGTGGGTCGATCATCTTGAGGATGTGCTTGGTGTCCTCGTCGTTGAAGATGCCCATGATGAGCAGAGTGCTGATGAGCTTCAGGATGGGGACGAAGTGGAACTCCACGCTGCCTCCGACGGGGTCCCTCATGGCCTGGCTGCCATCCAGCACGGCCTCCGTCAGCATGCTGATGGCCCGGGTCTTCAGCTCCTGAGGCGGGAAGATGAAAGATAATCAGATCAGAATCAATATGCTTTGTTTAACGACGGGGGAACAGTTGCTTTTCGTAACGGTTGCTCCATTTTACAGGAAAATGAAAGGAAATTAAAACACAATGCTACCAGAATAAAAAATAAATCTGATGGCATTTAGTAACAGTTGCCCCACTGCAACTGCACTCAGACAACTCGGATTGAAAGAAACTCACTAACCCATGAGTGACAGCAGGTCATTTTACAGTTGAATAAAATATAGTTAAATGATAAATAAGCAAGGGACAATTTAAACGTAATAAAAAGGTTCCGATGAGTCCTGCCTCGTACCTGGAGAGGGAAAACGGGGCTGAGGGTGTAGAGGTCGGGGTCGGTGCCGACAAAGTTGATGGAGGAGAAATGCAGCTTGGGCCGTAGGCAGGTGGTGAGGCCCACCCCGGGGAGGGAGTGGGCCTTCTTGGCGTCGGGGTACAGGTGGATGCTGAGCGTCTCCTGGGACATGGGCACGATGAACTCCCGGTTGGTGCCCAGGCGGGCGCGTTTGGCCGACTCCAGGTGGATGCTGATGAGCAGGTCGTAGTAGCCGCTGCGGAGGGGTCCTGGCAGGTAGGTGTTCTCCGTGGCGTAGAACAGCTGTGATTCGTCCACGTGGCTGCAGAGGGCGTGAGCCACACGGTTGTTGCCGAGCGCACACACGGCACAGTACAGCATCAGGGTGTGGTAGTGGAACTTCATCAGATCCTTACGCTCCGACAGCTCCAGGATGTCGATACACCTGGGGGACAAAGACAGGAAACTGATCAGATAAACATACAGAGAGGAGAATGGAACAGAATGGAACAGAATAGAATACAATAGGAAAGAACAGAATACTATAGAACAAAATAGAACAGAACAGGTTAGATTAGAATAGAATAAAATAGAAAATAATAAACTAGAACAGAAAATAATAGAACAGAATACTATATAGCAGAACAGAATACAAAATGTGACCCTACAATGAACTTTCACCATGGGGCCTTGCATGAATTCCCATGAATAAAATGTAACCTCTTTAGTTTTGATTTATGCCTGTGAGGCGCTTCTACTTGAACTTTAGATAAGATATGCCATGAGAAGTTTAAGTGGGAGAAGAGTGTGTCTGCCACTTAGACTTAATTCTCAACCCCTCCTGCTTTGATGTGTGTGTGTATAAGAAACTTTGATGCTGTATTGTTCAGACACAGATTTGTGCTTTTGCCACATGATTGTTTAATTCCCTTATACTATCTTTTGACAATTGCTTAGAAAAACCTTAAAAACTTTTTTTTTCATAGATTCCTGACTTGCAGATTCTGACCTGTTCTCCTCTGGGATGTGCAGAGCCATCATGATGAGAGGTTCCGTGCACTCCACGCTCCAGCCCAGCCTCTCGCTCACTTTGCCCACCACCGGTTTGAGGAAGTGGTTGGGCATACGACTCCAGATAACCGGGGTCAGCATCTGGACGTCCAGCCTGGGCGGGCACTGCGGGACCGGGTTGTTGCGCTCGCTGCGGAACATGGCTGCTGAGATGGGCATGATATTCTAAGGGGGCAAGGGGGGAATGTATAGAAACAGTAATAAGCAAGAGAAAATAATGAAGTTGAGCTGACCGAAAATAGGTCACATTTGATACACTTTCTGTTATATTTGTATTTGTTTCTCTGTGGTTTGCTTCAGCCCTGTTAGTAAGAGCTGCAGTGACCCAAGTCTTAATTTTGACTACCTTTAGGCCCCCAAGAAGAAAAATATTGAAGATTAAACAGGCCCTCAGTAAACTAAATGAAGTGAACGTGTTATATTTACAGTATGTCATTGAAAAACAAAGAAAAAACACATTAGAAGGACAATTGTTCTTTCCAGCTAAGCTTTTTTTCACATCCTTGTAAAAAAACAATATGGGGCAACCAGTCAGTTGTCACCATTAACCAGACCATCATTTGAGTCTTCATTTAAAATGAATGGTAATGTAATGTTAAGTTGATAAATGTGTTGGTATTTGTATGTTAATCACTGCTTTTAACTGTTTAATAATTCTAAGTGTGATTGATACATCTTGCTGCCCAGGGACTGCAGATGGAAATGATCTAATTGCCTAATCTGGCATAAATCATGTGTTCTATTTTTGATATTATTGTACTGTGTGCATGGTCCTTGTTTAAGTCATTACAAGAAAAGATGAGACAAGACAAGCACAAAAAATGAAAGAATGCAGATGTGCATGAGATGTAGACTCTACCCTTTACTTTGACATACTGTAGCTGTCACTGGCTAATCTCTGGTTGGCACAGACTCCAATCAGCAATGCAGTTCCATACACTTTTCTGATACATTTCAACATTAAATAATTACTAAATAAGAGTTCACATTCACATTTTTTCTCTGCCTTTCCCAAATATCACTTTGATTTTTCCATTATTTTTCTCTATCTTTCCAAATACTTTTCCATATGTCTAAAATTAATACAATAACATTTATTTTATCCCAACAGAGATTCATGATCCCTCGTCTTTTAACAAAGGTCAAGGGTAGGATGACCCGATTTGACCCATTTATTGAAATCACCCACACAAGTTTGATGTTATGATTTCAATGTGAAAGGGATATGAGACAATGTAGGCATTACAAATAAATAAAGCAATATAGCCCAAGAAGTTAAATCAGAGGAAAAAACAATAACTTTCGAAAAGTTAAATTGTTCTGCAGTGTGTAAGCAACAGTGGTTTCTGACCTTGAGTTTGCCCAGCTCCAGCTGCACCAAGTTCTGGTTGGATGGCTGAACGAAGACAGCGGGGAACAGCTTGGTGTTTGGCTCCACCTGAAAGGAAACACCTCTGGTTTCAATGCTCCACACTGTAACATCACTACATTTAAGCAGATACAAATAGCCTTTCCTTACCTGGTAAAAGGTGTTTATCTCCTTTCCATTGGCTGTAAAGGTCATGAGACCGGTTGCCAGATCAACCAAGCAGCCAACAACCATGTCCTCCTGGCTGAAGCGGGTCTGCTGATTGCTGACCAGGTCCCCTCCCCACACCATATAACAGTTACTGTGCTTCATGCTGCAGAGAAAAAGCAAAACTCATCTCAACTCTAAAGTTAAGTGTGGTGAGTACATGGAAAGAGGGAGAAATATTTTTTTTAATGTGGCATATGGGGAAAATATAACTGAAGAAAAGAAAGGGACCGAGTGTAGAACCTTGAGGGACCCCACAAAATATAAAAGACAATAACAAGTTCCTTATTGCTTCAATACTAATGTTAGTTAGTCCGATAGGAGGTTTAAGTAGTTCTATTTCGTCCCTACTGACCGCCAGAGGCGGTGCTTTAAGCACTGGATATGTCCATCGCGCGCATGCGCAGCTCGAGTACCAATAACAACAAAGTCACCTGTGACCCACGTGACACCGGCTATATCAACCGGTGTCGTCAGAGGATCTGTTCCTTTCATCTTCTCGCTACGCGAGGGTACCGTGGCTACATTTTTGTAGCCTACAGCATTCAGGTTTGAACGTTTGATCTGAGGGATTTCTCTGCAAGCAGCTGGCCGCGTGCAGCTTCGTGACTGACAGTCGGAGCTACGGGTCGTTAACGCGTCCTCCAGGAGCTGTGGCCGGCTGTGCGCTGTGCAGAGCCTCGACAGACAGGTTGGTGTCAGCTTGTGATGGTGATGGCTGTGTCCCCGCACCCTCTCCCAGCCAAGTTGTCCTGATTGCTGTCTTAGTTTTTGTTTGGCTTAGATTTTCTGGTGACGACAGTGTTCCCGCTTCATCTCCCATAAAGTTGCCCTTATGTCTGCTTGTGGCGTTGTGCCCGAGCTATCATTAGCATTTGAGTCCCAGCTTTGGCTGTGTCCCTCATTCAATCTAACCTGTTTTACGTTTAGATGCCGAGAGTAAGGTAAGTACTTTCTATTTCTTAGAAGCTATTATCTTGTCTTAACATTTGTGTTCTGACTTGGTCGCTTGATTGTTAGCAGCAGCCGCTTGGCTAACACCTTGCTGTTAAGCTTAACTATTAACTCAGCCGGTGAGGGCAGTGCTCCCGCTCCCGGTAACATAGGGTTTGATTGCAGTAGCGCTAGATCGTTGTATTACTGCTCCTAGTACTAGACTCCTAGCACTAGGATGATATGCAGAGAACATCTTCACTGCGGGTGCTGTGTGCTCCGCATGTGCGGTTACTACTGTAACCATGGCCTACGGTTCTATGCGGGCTGTTCTCTTTCTTAGAAGCTAATTATCTGGTCTTAACATTGTGTTCTGACTTGGTTGCTTGATTGTTAGCAGCAGCCGCTTGGCTAACACCTTGCATGTACTGTTAAGCTTCATTATTTAACTCCGCGGTAAACGCATGGTATGGTTGCAGTAGCGCTATATCGTTGTATTTACTGCTCCTAGTACTAGACTCCTAGTACTAGACTCCTAGCACTAGGACGATATGCAGAGAACAATCTTCACTGTGTGCTCTGCATGTGTGGCCATTAAGGAGGATTTCATCCTCCCAATATTATATTATCTAGTGGGCAGCCGTTTGGCTGACACTTTTAGGCACCGGCCACAGTTACTACTGTAACTAAGGTTCTAAGCCATAAGTACTGGCCATAATTACTACTGTAACTACGGTTCCAAGCCGTGTAAGTACTGGCCGTAGTCAATACCGTAACTACGGCTCTATGCTGTGTAAGTACTGGCCATAGTTACTACTGTAACTACGGTTTTAAGCCGTAAGTACTAGCCATAGTTACTACTGTAACTACGGTTCCAAGCCGTGCAAGTACTGGCCATAGTCAATACCGTAAACGGCTCTATGCTGTGTAAGTACTGGTCATAGTTACTACTGTAACTACGGTTCCAAGCCATGTAAGTACTGGCCATAGTTACTACTGTAACTACGGTTCCAAGCCATGTAAGTACTGGCCATAGTTACTACTGTAACTACGGTTCCAAGCCGTGCAAGTACTGGCCAGAGTTACTACTGTAACTACAGCTCTATGCTGTGTAAGTTCTGATGCCGTGTGAGCACTGGCCATGGTTACTGCTGTAACTACGGCTCTGTGCTGTTCTCTTCTTTCGAAGCTAGTTATCTGGTATTAAACATGTGTGTTATTTGACTTGATATCGCTTGATCGTTAGCAGCAGCTGCTCGGCTAACGTCTTGCGTGTACTGTTAAGCTTCTTTATTTTACCCAGCTAGGTGAAGGCAGTGCTCTCGCTCCCGCTCCCTCTACCGGTAATGCGGATGTAGCTACATCCCTTTTTCTGTTCGGTGAGTAGTAGCACCGCTCTACTCTTCCCGTTCAGCAGGTAGCTGGTGAAGGCTGTGTTCCCGCACCCGCTCCCGGTTACGCTGCATCTGGCATTCGTCTCTAACTCAACCAGTGAAGGCAGTGTTCTCGCCCCCGCTCCTGGTAGACGCTGAACTGCCTCGCTTTTCCGTTAAGCAGGTAGTCGGTGAAGGCTGTGTTCCCGCACCCGCTCCCGGTTACGCTGCATCTGGCATTCGTCTCTAACTCAACCAGTGAAGGCAGTGTTCTCGCCCCCGCTCCTGGTAGACGCTGAACTGCCTCGTTCTTCCGTTAAGCAGGTAGCCGGTGAAGGCTGTGTTCCCGCACCCGCTCCCGGTTACGCTGCATCTGGCATTCGTCTCTAACTCAACCAGTGAAGGCAGTGTTTACGCCCCCGCTCCTGGTAGACGCTGAACTGCCTTGTTTTTCTGTTAAGCAGGTAGCTGGTGAAGGCTGTGTTCCCGCACCCGCTCCCGGTTACGCTGCATCTGGCATTCGTCTCTAACTCAACCAGTGAAGGCAGTGTTCTCGCCCCCGCTCCTGGTAGACGCAGAACTGCCTTGTTTCTCCGTTAAGCAGGTAGCTGGTGAAGGCTGTGTTCCCGCATCCGCTCCCGCTGCATCTGGCATTCGTCTCTAACTCAACCAGTGAAGGCAGTGTTCTCGCCCCCACTCCTGGTAGGCGCTGAACTGCCTTGTCTTTCCGTTAAGCAGGTAGCTGGTGAAGGCTGTGTTCCCGCACCCGCTCCCGGTTACGCTGCATCTGGCATTCGTCTCTAACTCAACCAGTGAAGGCAGTGTTCTCGCCCCCGCTCCTGGTAGACGCTGAACTGCCTCGCTTTTCCGTTAAGCAGGTAGTCGGTGAAAGCTGTGTTCCCGCACCCGCTCCCGGTTACGCTGCATCTGGCATTCGTCTCTAACTCAACCAGTGAAGGCAGTGTTCTCGCCCCCGCTCCTGGTAGACGCCAAACTGCCTCGTTTTTCCGTTAAGCAGGTAGCTGGTGAAGGCTGTGTTCCCGCACCCGCTCCCGGTTACGCTGCATCTGGCATTCGTCTCTAACTCAACCAGTGAAGGCAGTTCTCGCCCCCGCTCCTGGTAGACGCCAAACTGCCTCGTTTTTCCGTTAAGCAGGTAGCCGGTGAAGGCTGTGTTCCCGCACCCGCTCCCGGTTACGCTGCATCTGGCATTCGTCTCTAACTCAACCAGTGAAGGCAGTGTTTACGCCCCCGCTCCTGGTAGACGCTGAACTGCCTTGTTTTTCTGTTAAGCAGGTAGCTGGTGAAGGCTGTGTTCCCGCACCCGCTCCCGGTTACGCTGCATCTGGCATTCGTCTCTAACTCAACCAGTGAAGGCAGTGTTCTCGCCCCCGCTCCTGGTAGACGCAGAACTGCCTTGTTTCTCCGTTAAGCAGGTAGCTGGTGAAGGCTGTGTTCCCGCATCCGCTCCCGGTTACGCTGCATCTGGCATTCGTCTCTAACTCAACCAGTGAAGGCAGTGTTCTCGCCCCCACTCCTGGTAGGCGCTGAACTGCCTTGTCTTTCCGTTAAGCAGGTAGCTGGTGAAGGCTGTGTTCCCGCACCCGCTCCCGGTTACGCTGCATCTGGCATTCGTCTCTAACTCAACCAGTGAAGGTAGTGTTCTCGCCCCCGCTCCTGGTAGACGCTGAACTGCCCTGTTTTTCAGTTAAGCAGGTAGTCGGTGAAGGCTGTGTTCCCGCACCCGCTCCCGGTTACGCTGCATCTGGCATTCGTCTCTAACTCAACCAGTGAAGGCAGTGTTCTCGCCCCCGCTCCTGGTAGACGCTGAACTGCCTCGTTTTTCCGTTAAGCAGGTAGCTGGTGAAGGCTGTGTTCCCGCACCCGCTCCCGGTTACGCTGCATCTGGCATTCGTCTCTAACTCAACCAGTGAAGGCAGTGTTCTCGCCCCCGCTCCTGGTAGACGCCAAACTGCCTCGTTTTTCCGTTAAGCAGGTAGCCGGTGAAGGCTGTGTTCCCGCACCCGCTCCCGGTTACGCTGCATCTGGCATTCGTCTCTAACTCAACCAGTGAAGGCAGTGTTCTCGCCCCCCACTCCTGGTAGGCGCTGAACTGCCTCGTCTTTCCGTTAAGCAGGTAGCTGGTGAAGGCTGTGTTCCCGCACCCGCTCCCGGTTACGCTGCATCTGGCATTCGTCTCTAACTCAACCAGTGAAGGCAGTGTTCTCGCCCCCGCTCCTGGTAGACGCTGAACTGCCTCGCTTTTCCGTTAAGCAGGTAGTCGGTGAAGGCTGTGTTCCCGCACCCGCTCCCGGTTACGCTGCATCTGGCATTCGTCTCTAACTCAACCAGTGAAGGCAGTGTTCTCGCCCCCGCTCCTGGTAGACGCCAAACTGCCTCGTTTTTCCGTTAAGCAGGTAGCTGGTGAAGGCTGTGTTCCCGCACCCGCTCCCGGTTACGCTGCATCTGGCATTCGTCTCTAACTCAACCAGTGAAGGCAGTGTTCTCGCCCCCACTCCTGGTAGGCGCTGAACTGCCTTGTCTTTCCGTTAAGCAGGTAGCTGGTGAAGGCTGTGTTCCCGCACCCGCTCCCGGTTACGCTGCATCTGGCATTCGTCTCTAACTCAACCAGTGAAGGTAGTGTTCTCGCCCCCGCTCCTGGTAGACGCGGAACTGCCCTGTTTTTCAGTTAAGCAGGTAGCTGGTGAAGGTTGTGTTCCCGCACCCGCTCCCGGTTATGCTGCATCTGGCATTCGTCTCTAACTCAGCCGGCAGTGTTCTCGCCCCCGCTCCTGGTAGACGCTGAACTGCCGTGTTTATTAATCCAGCCAGGTGAAGGCAGTGCTCTCGCTCCCGCTCCCTCTGCCGGTAACGTGGGTGTAATTACATCCCTCTTTCTGTTCGGCGAGTAGCAGCAACGCTCTACTCTTTCCATTAAGCAGGTAGCTGGTGAAGGCTGTGTTCCCGCACCCGCTCCCGGCTACGCTGCATCTGGCTACCTACAGAATGGCTCATTCATGTAGCGCCTGTATGGCTTCTTTTGAGCCCGAGGACGGCCACGACCGCTGCCCCTCCTGCCTCGGCCGCCTCTGGCGGTCAGTGGGGACGAAATGTGAGCAGCCCCCACCCTCTGGAACGCTCTCCCTGCGGAGATACGCAACATCCCCACACTTGAAGCCTTCAAAAGGGCCCTCAAGTCTCATCTGTTTGCCAAGGCTTTCGGCCTCTAAATCGATCTGTTGTTCTGTTTGTCTGTCTTTTGTTTTGTTATGTTTGTCTTTGCACTATTACTTGTGAAGCGACCTTGGGTCCCCTGAAAGGCGCTATAGAAATCGAAGCTATTATTATTATTATTATTATTATTATCTGAGGGAGGTTCTCACGGTAAACGCCTGCATGAGCTGTAGCTGCATGCCTCGGGCGCTCAGAGTGGCTAGAATCACTGAGGTGGAACGTCTGGCAGCAGCCAACAGACACCTCTCCTTGTCACATCCTCCTCCATATCAATTCGGCCGTTCCCGGCGACTTGAGGGAGCGATGGCTATGTGTGCTCCCCCCAATAGGACTAGAAACAAGCTGTCCTTTAGAGTGGATCGGCTAGCTGCCGATAGGGGCATGATGAAGTCGCCTCTTGGCCCTTCAGCTGGGCTAGCACCCCCGTCCCCCCCCCCCCGTCCCCTTCGGTTGGCGCACCTCCTTCGGCTGACGCACCTCCTTCGGTTGATGCACCTCTGTATGAGGAGGCCTTGTCGCTGGTACAGACTCGTCGCCAGGTTTCGCTGGCCCAGTCAGTCACCACTAACGGAGGCACGTAGGAGAGTCCTCCGTAGCGTACCAGTCGAGCCAGGGGAGCTGTTTAGGTCAGCTGCCCTGGAGGTACTGGAGCGTGCCGCCCAAGCTAGGCAGACCAGGCAGCAGCTCTCGGGTCTTCGCAGACCTGTGCCCACTCCAAGCAGGCCCAGGGGCCGCTCTAGCAGCCGCACTCAGCCGCCGGATTACAGGGGTGGTCTGCAGAGGTCTTAGCGGCGCGACCCAATGACTTTCGTGCCCCAGGTCGCCCGCCTTCCAGACGGCCTCGTGCCCCAGTGCCCCCCCGGTCGTCGGCTGCTTTCCCAGCAGCAGCTCAGTTACTGGGCGGTCTGTACTTCCGTCCCTTGGGTAGTTTTCACCTTAACCCAGGGGTACGGACCGCAGCTCCGGCCCCTAGCCTTCGGCTGGGTCTAATTGACAGTCGTCAGCGATCCGGCAGGGGCCCTAGCTCTGGCCCAAGAGTTGTCCGTCCTTCTGTCCAAGGACGCAATCAAGCCAGTAAGACCCTCTGATTAGCCCAGGGGGTTCTACTCGGCGTACTTTCTCGTGAGCAAGAAAGTCGGCGGATTTCGCCCGATCTTGGACCTCAGAGGAATCAACAGATTCCCGAAGGTGCTGCCATTCTATATGCTGACCACTGCATATGCACAGGTGGAGTGGTTCTCAACCGTGGACTTGAGGGATGCCTACTTCCACGTGGGCCGGGCAAGATGGTGCCTTATATTCAGTTCCTCCGGCCCTTGGGCAGACTGGCAGCTGCCTCGGCCGCTGGGCCCTTAGGCCCGCTGTCGTTGCACCCCATGCAGATGTGGCTGAACAGCCTTCACTTGGACGCCAAGTGGCACAGGCACAGGGAAGTCAGGGTGTCGCAGCATTGCCTCAACTCTCAGTCACGCTGGAGGGGCCTATCTCCTAGTGGGCGTGCCCATGGGCGCCATCCCATCCCGCCAGGAGACCATCACCATAGGTGCATGTCTCTCAGGGTGGGGTGCAGTGCGGCAGGGCAGGACCGTTCAGGGTCAGCGGTTTGCCCAGGAGAGTGCGCGCCAGGTCAACGTGCTAGAGCTTCGGGCTGTGCAGCTTGCACTCACTACCCCAACTGGGGGGCAAGAATGTGCGTGTTCCTTGGGGACAGCATGTACGTTGTTGCTTAGACAACAGTCCCTTCTAGATAGTGGACGTTCTCACTCCACTCTGAATTTATGTGGCTGCGATTTCTGCCCGACATGTTCGGGCCGACGGCGCCACGGCGGGGTGCCACAGGTCGGTGTCCCTCTTTATGAGAGGGGCTTTACGGCAGCGTCCCCCTAGCACCCCGAGGGCTCCGGCTTGGGACCTGCCTCTGCTGCCGGATGCCCTATTATCTCCTCCCTACGAGCCCCTGGCCCAAGTGGAGCTTAGGTGGCTGCCCACGAAGGCAGCATTTCTGCTTGCCATAGCCTCAGGGAAGCGAGTCGGGGAGTTGCATGTCCTCTCCATAAACAATACATGCCCGAGGTGGGACTCTCAGGCATTGCCCTTTGGGCAAATGTGGCATTCCGGCCCGGGGTCCTTCCACAAACCCACTTCAATCAGCCTGCCCAGCTGGCACGCTTTGACATTCAGGAGTACGGCACGTCGAAGTTGCTGTGCCCTGGGGGTGCCCAAAGGGCGTATATCAAGGCTACTGCCTGTATACGGTAGTAGGAGCAACTCTTGATTTTGCCCTTGCGGCACTAAAGGAGGTTATGCCCTCTAACCAGTGGCTGCCCCACTGGGTTGTCGATACCATCTCACAGGCTTACGGGGCCAGTGGCCGCCCCCTGCCATCAGGCTGAGATGCCACTCTACAAGGAGCATCTCAACATCTTGGGCTGCCCTGAGGGTGGTGCCCCTGGAGACCATCTACGCCGCGGCGTCGTGGGCGTCTTCTGGCACATTCTCCAGTTGTCATCAGGTCAATGTCGCCACTCCCCATTCTTTGGGCGTGGTCCTTTTGCCGAGCTCCGCTGTTTCCAGTGGTGAGCAAGGGCTTGGATTCTTCATGACATTGTTGGTATAAGTCATCCAGTGCTTAAAGCACCGCCTCTGGCGGTCAGTAGGGACGAAATAGAACGATAGTTACGGCTGTAACTACGGTTCTATGAGTCCCGGATGACCGCCAGAGTTCCCTGTCACTCAGAATTCTTGTGTGCTCGCGAGAAGATTCTGGGAACAGATCCTCTGACGACACGTCACGTGGGTCACAGGTACTCGAGCTGCGCATGCGCGCGATGGACATATCCAGTGCTCAAAGCACCGCCTCTGGCGGTCATCCGGGACTCATAGAACCGTAGTTACAGCCGTAACTATCGTTTTAAAGAGCCATATTTTGCTAATTATTACAGATCATTTTTGTATTTTGTGCCTATACTGTCTCTATGCTTTAATGTTCAAAAAGGTCTTTATTTTTCTCATACTGCCTGTGCTGCAGCACCTTTTTGTCGGAGAGAAAACTCCCTCTTGAGGGGTCACAGGGAAATTAGCCTTTACAGAACATTTACAGAAAAAAAACCTATATACAGTAACACCCTCCAGGAAAGGGGAAACCCAAAGAGGATAATATTACTGAACATCATTTTAAGTAGAAACCGAAACCCAACAATAATAGTTATTTACAAGTATAAGAACAGTGTATTTATATATATATATATATATATACATGTATTACTGATCTATGTCCTTTATCCCACTAGCGTGCACATAGAGGATCAGTCCTTAATCACATTACATATTAAATAAAGATTGAATAGATAATAAATACATGGTCTGTACATGTTCTGGCATTGCTATTGTAAATAGCATATTCAAATATGGGAAAGACTTACCTGTCATGTATGTTGCCTTTGTCATCTCCAACAGTAACAGTGACACTGCGCACTTTGGAAAGGTCAAAGCCTGGATCATACTGGTGGTAGTCCGGAGTGACCCAGCCAATCCACACACCAGAAGGCTCCTGCCCAGCGAAGATCCTCACAGAATAGTAATACTGAAAAAATGAAACAGGTAAGATAACAGAAAACATAGAAGACAGTAATATTGGATTGTCTAAAAATGCTATAATAGCCTGATCCATGGACATTGGAGGGATACTTTTAACATGTGCCTATCCTAGAATAGTAGCGTATAGAGTTTAGCTTACAGTGGTGGTATTCAGGATGAACTCAGGGTCATCTCTGTCGTCCGGGACCACATCTTCCACCAAACGTGGCACTGTTGGAGGGGCAGGACCAGGAGAGAGAGGAATCATGGCAACCTTCTTGGCCTTGGAGAAGAATCTTTATGTGGAAAAAGAGAGAAAACAAATGCTTTGGACACTTAGATCTGAATACTGGGGGATGGGTAGATCTTTTTGACCCATGTTTAGTCCTTAGAACATGGTTAAATAAAGCTCCCAAAAAGTGTGCAGGGGGTTGATGCAAATGTTCTTAGTGGCCAAATGGTGCAGTTAAACCATCCGTGTCAGTCCGTGAAGTAATTTAGGCTAATTTTATGTAAATTAACTTGCCAGGATAACCACTTTAATTGCTATTTCTTTTAAATCATTATGGTCAAGTTGTTAAAGTGGACCTATTATGCTATATTGGAAAAATATATTGTAGGGCCATACCTATACAAAACATGTCTGTGAAGTTTTTTGCTTAAAATACCAAACAGATCACCCATTGTAGCCATGCCTCATACTGCTCATACCCCTCTTTTGCAGCCCTGTTAGAGAAACTCGGATTTTGGGTCCTTAGCTTGAAAAGGAAAAAGAGGAGGCGGAGCTAATGCCTGATCAGAATTCTACCGGAGATAAAGTTAAATTCTGCTGTGATAAAACGCCATCCTGTTCTAAACCACATCAAGGATTATTTCTGAAACAGTATGGAGCTCAAATGCTTTTTTTTGCAGGTTTATCACAAGGTGAGTTTCTTTTTTTGTTTCCTGCTTTTTAAACACATCTGTATCCGCTCGTTTTACCCCCGTTCTATATCGTATAAGGCTTCGCCCTCTAAGGCTATCGCTATTGGGTAATCCCACTGCGCATGTGCAGCACTGACAGACTCGTATTTAGTATTTTAGTATTTTTGAATAGCACTGCACACACTTCCGCGGTGTGTGATGCAGCGTGTGGAGACCCCTTCGCAGCCCTTTTCGGACGGGGCCCCCCTCGGGTTGCTTCACGAGCAACAGCGGCAAGGGCTCTGGCATGGCTCGTCACCATGACTACCACAGCAGAGCAAGAACAAGTTTGCCCGCTCTCGGAGCATTGCTCAGAGTGGCGGCGAATATGTTTGATGGACAGATGGATGAGCAGGCTGATCAGCAGAGGGTACTCTCTGCAATTCTTCTCCCCCCCCCGCAGTTCAATGGGATTCAGGAAACACTCCTGTCATCCCAAGAACAGTGTATTGCGCTCCAGGCGGAGCTGCAGGAACTCCTGGTAAAAAGTACAATTTCCAGGGTTCCTCAAGGGGAAAAGAATCAGGGGTTTTACTCCCGTTATTTTCTTATCCCGAAAAAGACCAGGGGAATGAGACCCATCCTCGATCTGTCAGCATTCAACAGGGTAATAATGAAAAGACCTTTTCATATGCTGACAATCAAACAGGTGCTGGAGTATGTTCACCAGGGAGACTGGTTTACTTCAATAGACCTGAAGGATGCATACTTCCACATAACCATCATCCCGAAACACAGGAAATTCCTGTGTTTTTCATTCCAGGGAATATCGTACCAGTTCAATCGACTGCCGTTCGGATATTCCCTGGCTCCACGCACTTTTTTCCAAGTGTGTGGAGACGGCTCTGGAGCCGCTACACAGAGGAGGGATGAGAGTGTTATTTTATCTGGACGACCTGCTGTTGCTGGCTCGCTCCAAGGAGGAGGCTGCTTTACAGACGATACAACTCGTATCGCATCTGTCAAGCCTGGGTTTCATTATCAACTGGAAGAAGAGCTGTCCTCTTCCATCCCAGGTTATCGTTTATCTGGGAGTGGAATTTAACTCAGCCCGCATGAGAGCACGACTCTCACAGCGGAGAGTGGAGAAAGTGACAGCTCTCCTCCGGCGCGTCACACCTCGCAGGGTGGTGACAGCCCTCTCCGTGATGCAGCTGTTAGGCATGATGTCAGCTGGTCGTGTGGTGATCCCCCTGGGACTCCTTCACATGAGGAGACTCCAGAGGTGGTTTATTCGCCTGCGCATCGACCCCGTGCGTCAGAATAGACGCATGGTGTACATTCCTCCTTCGGTGGGTTTAGATCTGACCTACTGGAAAAATCTCCACGTCCTGTCAGTGGGGGTTCCCCTGGTTAGCGGTTAGTATTGGACTACAAGATAGATGCAAGCCTGTACAGGTAGAGTTATTTAAAGCATAAATGAGTGGGTTGGGTTCTGGAGGTGTGGTTACAGCATTGTGCTTGGTTGGCGTGGCCTGGGCCTGGTGGTGGGGCCCAATGTGATATCTTTTCATGGGGCCCAAAATCCCTGGCGGCGCCCCTGTCCCCAGCCTTTGCCCTCGAGCCCGGCCCCCTGAGTTCCCCAGCTGCGGCCTTCGCCCTCGAGCCCGGCCCCCTGACTTTCCCAGCCGGTGCCTTCTCCCTCGAGTCCGGCCCCCTAATTTACCCCAACGAGGCCTTCACCCCTGTCTTCGGCCCCCTGAGTTTTCCCGCCGCGGACTTCCCTGCTCTGTTGCTTTTCCCCCGGGCTGTCCGCCTGAGTTTTTTTGACGCTGCGTGAGTTCCCCGACACACCGGGGACACATATTTATGTATAAAAGACATAAAAAAGTGCATTTTGCATGATAGGTCCCCTTTAAGATAAAATATGCTAAAAGCCAGAGGCAGGACTCCTGCTCTCTGGGCCCCATTGATAAGGAAGATGGCATTTATGTTCTTGGAAGTCAGGCCCTCGTTGCTTTCGGCACCACTGACCAACTCTCATAACAATGAATTAGGCCAACCCTTTGATGCTGTATCCAGTTCTCATTATACACCCACTGGATGAATGCTTCCCACCTTAAATACTCTGCAGGCTTGTTCCTCTTCTCTCAAAGAAACAGCCTGCCACACTTACCCTTTTTTCTTTCCCTTTTCCGACACTGAGTCCTTCTCATTCTCCATGGAGAGCTCCTTCGCCACCGACGGCTCCTTCTTGTCGTCCTCCTGCTCCTTGCGGCCAGCAGACCTCTTCAGAATCTCAAACTCTGAGTCGGGTTCCACCACTATCACCTCCTCTTCAGGTATGGTGAGGGCCCGGGTGAGAGGGGTTGTGCCTGCTGTGATCTTGAAGGTCTCGTGGAACTGGATCGGCATGCTGAGTCTGAGGAACATCATGTCGGTGTTGGCGTTCTGCGAGCCAAAGGTTCTGTGGGTCAGCTTCAGACAGGGGGCGCTGTCCACCGTCCCATCCACACGGGAGATCTGGGAGACAATAGGTTTAAAGGTAAAAAGATGTTCAGTTTTCACATGTCAAGCTTCTTATATCATTAAAAGTGTGACTGAGTTATTACCTCAATATGATTGTGATCGTGGGGTACAGGCACGAACTGGGGCAGACTTTTACTGAACCACATGGTGATTTCTCGCTTCATGTTGATGGCGAAAGGTTCAAAACCTTCCTGCAGGCCACAGATGGCAAAGTAGCGCAGGCTGCTGACATTCTGCCCGAGATTAATTCTGCCAACCTGACCCAGGCCCAGCGCACACACTGGGATAAAACCTGAGGAGTGAAACCACAGGAATTAATTATAGGGAAAGTTAATTTCAGATTGCTATATATTTGTGCTGATATCTCATACAAATGTATACAGAATAAACCCAAATACGTTTTTGAGAAATATTGTTTTCCTGTTAGTGTTGCACAATTAATCATGGTTTTATCTTATGCGCAGTAAGTACAATATTTGCTAAAGGCAAAATATGTAAAAAAATACTAGAAAGGGGTACTGTGGAGCTGTGGAGAGAAGTCCCAGCATATAAACATTAATCTAAAGACTCGTTTTGTACAGATCACACACAAAATGGTCCTTCACTCTGATATTGAAAAATCACATTGTAGTTGCGATATCAGCCAAAATCGTCCAGCTACTTTCCGTTACTGCTACTTATTCTGATCACATACGGTACTATGGCTCTTACCTTCACCAATCTCGATGTCTTTGAACGCCATATCTGAGCCCGAGTCACTGATCAACATTTCTCCGTTGAGCGTGAACATGATGTTATTATCAGTCAGGTCGATCATACAACCGACGACATCGCCCGACAGCCACTGGCGACCGAAGGGATCATTGCCAACATGCCATCGTTGAGCCTGGAGAGGGTTACATCAATCATTTATCCATAAGACACTGCCTCCAAATTCCATTCGAAAGAAACAGAGACATCAATGTCAGGCCGTAATGTACTCGTACAGATTTGCTAAGAAAAGGTCAAGACACACAAAAAAGTGCCTCGGAAAATTGTAAAGAAAGGCATTATATCACTGAAATGTGGTTATTATCAAGTCCAGCATACATCTTAAGGGATGTCACAATCTCAAAATGTCTTCAAAATTCTACCATTTTTTTTGTTTGATGGGCAAAGAGTGGATTTACTGAAAATAACTAATATTTGTCTGTTCAAATTTGAAAGTCTAACTACACGACAGTCGAAACCTGATATATTGGCCTGACATTGATTTGGGACTGACCTTATTTCCGTTGAAAACGTAGGCCAGCTCGTCAGCTCCCAGCTCGTTGTCAGAGCGGACACTGGGACGGGCCCAGCCCACTCTCATCTCCCCCGTGGTGACCGCCTCAAACTCAAAGTACCACTTCCCCTGGGTGATCGCGTACGACTTCTCCGCCCTGAAGATCCGTACCTTGTCCCCGCGGGTGTTCTCAAGGCCATGGCCCGCTGCATGGAAAGCATGAGGGATTAAGAAACATTGAGATTTTGGAGATGTGGATGATATTCTGGGTGAAATTATCCCACTCACAGCTCTCCTGATCTGGAGGCTCAATGTTGTAGCCATAGCCAATGAGGGTGCGGACAGCGTTGTTCACACTGTCTCGGTTCGTTTTCTTAGTTTTCTCGTCCAGAAGGTTGTAAGGTACCAGACGAGGGTTTCGCTTATTCATGATGTCCTGAGAAGTGAAACAGATTACGACTTGATATAATACAAAAAATATGTGACTTATTGTATATCTTATAAACAAGGACATTATTAGAATGGCACCAGGGCTTAGCCTAAAGTGGTTGATACCTGTGAACATGCATCATTTGGTTGCTCAAAATGAATTGGCCTAAAAAGTAATAATAAAAAAACGTATTAAGGATTGGAATTACATACCTGCACAATACTGTAGGTCCATCCTTGTCGTACCCGGTCCCTTGCCCAAACATTATGTCCGTTTTCTGCCAGTTTCTCTACGAGCTGGTTCTGGTTGGGTGTCAGTTTGACATGGTTCAGGTCAAGGGGGGCAGGCTTGTATGCGTTAGTCATCACGTAGCTGGAGGACAAATGCAAGTTCATATTCAATTATACATAAAAGATAATGTCTAACGTTAAACAGAAATGTGTTTGTTGCCATACGTCTTAGGCAGCTTGATCTTCTTGAGATTCTCCTCTGCTTTCTCGTCACCCATTCCAACGTGGCAACCCAGCGCCAGGAGAGTCCTATAAGGTAATAACAATACAGGCATCAACTATGTTATCGTGGATTAAATTCCTTCTCTGACACATCTAAAGAAACTCTGTTGTTAACTCACTTGAGGGTCTCTCCTGACATCTGCAGGTTGTAGTTCCTCTCTGGTTCAGGGAGGCTCTGAAAGTCCACCAGACAGGGGTGGAGCTTCTTGTTGTCGTCCCTGAACTGTGGAGGAAGAAGACTTTAGGTTACTTACATCGACTTCACTTTTTTGATTTAGAGACAGGCAATAGCACAGTCCATAGAGGCTTGGCTTTGGACCAGATGGTCGCCGGTTCAAGTCTCCGCACAGATCAAAAATATATATATACTTGATGGGGACTGGTATCTAGATAGGTGCCGGTTCAACTCCAGGGCACTGCCGTGGAGTCATTGAGTATGGCACAGAACCCCCAACTGATCCCTGGCAGCCCCTTTGCCTTGCACCTCTACGTCTAATTAGTATTGCATGATATTGACTATTGGTGTATGTGTGTATTTGAACTGTGACTGCATATATCAGCAACATAGTGAAAACCTACTTTACTAAAGTAATGCGTCTGGCTTCGTCTGCAGCACTCATCCAGATAAGATGTGACTGTTAACTCATTTTGCTTTACACTATCACACCTAATAGTCCGCTCTCTGGTGTGCACCAGACCACAGTTTGTTACATTGTTTCATTTTTCAGAAGGTTCGGTTTGTGTTCACAGCAAAACTCAAACGGACTATAAACTTTAAACACAAGTCATGTGCTCGGAAATGCTGTTCAACCATTGGTCAGACATTAAGGGGATAAAAACGCAAATCCTGGCAATTTCTACCGGAGCCTCCGCCATGGAGCATCGGCACTTTCGGTTTGTTTTTAACTGTGTAATAAAGTTAATTATTCAAAATGTTAGAGTTCCTTATTTTTAAACTGAAACTTGCACTACTGTAAATTAAAAACAAAACTGGAATTGTGCATTTGGGACTTTTTTTTGCTTTTTCTTGTTGTACCGAACCCGTACTGAACCGTGAACCCCCAAAACCGAGGTACATACCGAACCGTGAATTCTGTGAACCGTTACACCCCTACTGATGACAACAACATTTTATCAAATTTGTGTTTTTGTTTACAAGACTGTTTACTATTCCTGATCAGTTAAAAACTTACTTTAAAAGGAAATCACAGGTACATTTTTACACAAATCGTCAATCTTCATATCTTAATGCCTCAAAGTGTATCACCTGCAGAGGTCAATTTTACATCAGATTGAGGGGTACCAAATGATGGAATGGCTTTTCCCACCTGACTGTTCTGTCAGGTGGGAAAAGCCACTGTTCCTCTATAAATTGTTACAATAAACACCTAAAAGACCATTTACCAAATAAGAAAAGTGGGTTTTCTGCCTCTTGCTGCTATGTATATATTGTTTTATCTGTTATGTTTGTGTATTTAAATTGTAAAAACAATATTAAAATAAAAACAATACAAAAATAAACAAAAGATTGTTGTTATTTTAATTATGAATAACACATACATGGCCTCTATGTTTACAATGCACTACAGTCTCAATTACTATTATAAAATGTTTGCATACAGTAATGTTTTTAATTATTTCTCTCGCATAGCTTGAGTGCTCGAAATCAAATCAATAGGAATACTGTGGCGTGTGCATTGCAGTGCTGACTGTATACTCACACTCCCATAGGTCCAGCCCTGCTCGATACGGGTGACCGCCCAGAGCTCGTGAATATTCTCTGCCAGCTTCTCTCGGATACGCTCCAAGTGGGGTGGCAACACGATCTATACGGCAAAAGAGAAGTCAGTAGACGCAAAGACGCTCATTCGGTAGCGACCTGATCAAAGTCTGATTTTTGTTTCGGGGCTTTCACCTGAACCGTGTCCACGGGGCAGGGGGTGAACGAGGTGTGTGTGAGGGACTGCGAGGGCCCCAGCAGGTTGCGGACGCCCTGGAAGTCGTGCTTGTACTCCTTGATGGGTTCGATACGCATCCTGTCCCGCGGCAACAGGGCCTCGTAGCACGGGGCGTAGCCAGGAGGGGGCATGAACTTGAAGTCTCCGTGACGACCGCCAAGCAGGAAGCGAGCCCTGAGATGACAGAAAGACTCGTATTGACAGCTTTCTTTATCTAATACCTAAATCCTTTATGGCAACAGTGCCTTGATCCTGTAAGACTCATAATAAAGAAAAGATTGATTTCATCTCCGTGCCAACGCCTGAGCCTGTGATTCCCTCCCTGCGCTCTCATCAGTCAATTTACCATTACCCCCTTCTCAGCACTGTGAGGGGTCATTACACACCACATTGTAGGTTTTTAGAGTTTTTAATTTGAAAGATGACTTATGGTACTAAAGTCAATATTTCACAGTATTTACTGAGTTGGTTGGTGTTTCTAATCTGATTTTGGTAATGCTATTTCACATTTATAGAGTTTACATTTAGAAAGTTAAAGTCAAACAAAATGAGTGTTTGAGGCTTTTATTCTTAAATCACGATAGAGAATTTTCTGTCTTTGACTTATGTTATGAATACATGCTGAGACTTAATCTAATGGCTATACAACATGTAGCATCTACGTGGCCAACGGGAAAGGGTTAACGGGAAAATAAAGACTGCTTTTACAGCACAAAGTTGCATTGGATTAGATAGACATACAATATACAATATTACAATAATAAATACAAAGAATATTATGACATTCTCTAGGCTTGCCCAGCAATAACTGAAAGAATCATTCTAAACTCTTTGCTGCTGAATTGTATGACCCTTACCCTCGTTAATGACCCTCACACCTTCTTGGCAAGATGTAGCAGCCTATCAGACGTCATTATTTATGGCTATCAATTTATTCGTTTGATGGGTGGCGTTCCAAAAGGTTGTCTGTTCTCAATATAAAACTTGTTACTGAAAGTTGAAGTTGAGTCTCATTTTTTAATATAGATTAATATGTGTTTCATACATAATTTTAAGGGTTATGAATCATCAATACATATTTGGTTTAATTATTATTTTTACTTGATATATACATTATGTTATTTAGCTGACACTTATTTTTCAAAGAAACTTACTCACACTTCAATATGAGCAGGTTCAGTATCTTGCCCAAAGACACTATGACAAGTTGGCTGCAGGGGCTGGGATCAAACCACCAACCCTCATATTGGTTGATCAGCCCATTAATCCCCCGAGCCTGATAAAACCCCATTGTTTTTTAATTTGTTCTTACTTGACTCCAGCAGAGAAACTGATGACGGGGAAGAAGAGGCCGTCCACGTTGAAGTTCTCAAACATGCCCTGAACTGGGTGGCCGTTAATACGGAAGGAGATACTGGGCACGCTCAGATCCAGACAGCAGCTGACTACGTCGTCTGCAGACAGGCAGTGAGCGTTGGGCGCGGCCACCTGGCGGGCCACGGTACCTGAGCATCAGAGCAGAGAGGGAGGAGGTTATATAAGAAGAACACAGCATATGGAGTAGAGTAATCCTAGGTCAGGGTATATGCAGGAATCCTGAAGTCAAATTTAATACCTTTTAAGACCTTTTTAAGACCCTTTCCATACATTTTAAGACCTCATCGCCACTTTGAGTTTTAACCGGTTACCTTGGCGACACACTTTACCTCACATTTACTATATTTATTTATATTTATATTTAAGCATCTTTGGGTTCAAGAAAAGCGCTATAGAAATTAAATGTATTATTATTATTATGTACAGTATTGATTGTCCTTCGTCCTTATCTTCCAACCATTTGGACGCAAACTTGCATTTCCCCATAACGATGTTGTTTAACAACCGGCGCAAACGGACCTCCGCGCTATCAAGCAGTGAGCGTGCGATGTCCTGTTCAGATGACGTCACACCCAACGGGATGCCATCAATAAACTACACAGAATCACACTACACACCTACGCAATGATTACATTCAGGCAGACTGTAGAACACAACCTCTTTGGACCATTTATATACTTATTGAAAACAAGCTACAAAATGTAATACCTTGGAAAATGCCGTTTAATACTTTTTAATAGCCTTCATTTTCGCTAAATTGATTCATCAACTTTTAATACTTTTTAAGACCCCGCGGACACCCTGTAGGTGAATTAGTGGAATCAACCTACCTGACCATAGGTCCAGCCCATCATAGCCATAGGAGTAGAGGTCATCTCCCACACCGTTGCCCCCCCCAGGCCTCTCCTCCTCCAGGGTAGGGGCTGTAGCCCTCGGTCATAGCCCAGCCCACACGCAGGTGGCTGGCCTGCGCCGTCACAAACTGTTCCACATAGTCCACCATCATCTCAAAGTACCATTTCTTAAACTGCGTGGACCCCTCGCACGTACCCAGGAAGATGTTGGGCCTCACACTGAGCATGGAAGAGAAAATTAGTCAACATTTAAGACTTTTGAGGAGGTTCATGACTTTTTTGACTCTAAAAATACAGTTTAAAAAATGGAAACACCCAGACAAATAACGGTAGATTTAGTACCTGGTGACATAGTTTACAATGTTGGTCTGCAGCAACAGGTCCCGCCCCGGGAGCAGGTTCTCAGTGATGAGGTTCTGGTTGGACCTCACAGCTACACCGTTACACACACAAAGAGAGCGCAGGACATCCAGGACCTAAAGGCAGGAGCGAGACACTACCATCACCTCTACGTTTAAATTATGCAATTTCCAATGGCTAAAGGAATCCAAAACCAAGAAGTCTTTTATGAGCCAAATACGCTTTCAGGGTGCTGTAACTTTCACCATCTGCAATCATTTGTTGTTAGGTAGGCAGTTAGAGCCTATTTATTTGCTGCCAGCATTTGTAAATTTGCTGGCAGTAAGAGAAGACAAACCTTGTGGTTCCGTCCATGCTTGTCCAGGAGAGAGATGATGGATTTAATATGGTTCTCCTGGATGATGTTCAGAACCTCAGGGCTTTCAATCAGCACACAATACAGCACCTCAAGAATACCTAAATGCATAAAGAGGAGAAATAAGATTACTAATCAGCAGACACAGTCATAATGTAGTTGTAATATAAGACAGTGTTCATGAGAATATGGTTCCAAAGAAATACAATGTATTACAATTATTTATAACAATACTTCCTATCAAAGCAAAACATAAATAAATATTTGGAGGATATAGTTGTATTGAAATTAGAGGGGGTCATAGACAGGGCTGCACATAACTGGTGTGCATGCGCACCCCCCGCCAAAAAAGGAGCACCGGATCATTTGAAAAAAGATGCATTTGCGCACCAACATTGAGAGAGAGAGAGAGAGAGAGAGTTTTCCAAAAACGCCCCAGATGTCAGGAGAACAAATACCAGTTTACCATAGATAATCATGTCATTGAACATAGCATGAGTTACACCTACCTCGGTTTAACCATAACAGCATCAGGACGTTTCAACATGGCAGTGAATGCTCTCAAAGAAAGAGCCAGAAGAGCTCTAAATGCAATTAAGAGAACATTTTATAATGTCCAAATTCCAATTAAAATCTGGCTCAAAATATTTGATAGTGTGATCCAGCCCATTGCGCTGTACGGTAGTGAAGTATGGGGTCCACTCAGTCACCAGAGCTATACCCGCTGGGACAAACATCCAACAGAGTCTTTACATGCAGAATTCTGCAGATACATTTTATGTGTTCAGAGAAAAACACCAACAAATGCATGTAGAGCAGAATTAGGCAGATACCCACTGATCATTAACACTCAAAAGAGAGCACTAACATTCTTTAACCACCTTAGGTCCAGCCCCCGAGACACCCTCCACTCCAAGCCCTCCAAAGCCAAGAGCTAACCCCAGAGAAGAGTCCCCTATGTCAGCTGGTGCTGAGGCTAGCTGCCCCCTCTCAGAGCCACTCTGACCAGTCTCTCAACAACACTGCTCTCCAAACACCAATCACAGTCAGACGCATTATAACACAATGTAAAGACAACTATTTACAACATTGGAAAGAAGAAACTAGAAGCCAAAGTAGATTAGAATGTTACCTGGCTCTAAACAGAGAGTATGAGCTGGCAGAATATCTCTCTACTGTCAGAGACAGAAAGCAGAGGCAGATCCTAACCAAGTACAGGCTCAGTGACCACAGACTGGCAATCGAAACAGGAAGAGTCAAAAGATGCTCCTTTGAGAACCAGGGCAACAAAGTGATGTCATAGACATAGACTGGTGCAGTGAGGATATATCTTTGGAGACCGACCTGGAAGTTAGCTCCACCAGGACTCCCTCAACAAAAGTAAATGGGATTTTTAATTGGATTTTTAAATATTGCTTTTTGGTAAACTCAGGTTTATGATACTCGCATGCGGCAAGATAATCTCCACATATTAACACCACTTTTGTAAAAGTTCTTCGACAGAAGTAAAAAGCTAACATCACAACCGCTAAGCTTAAGGCGGCAAACATTTTTTGACATACGGAAGCTATTATATATTTTACATCATCGAATAAAACTTGAAATTCTCTTCAGCTTGTGTTCACCACAGACCTTATTTCAGGCATCCAACCAAAAACTCCTACAAAAAAAACATTGACTTAAATTCAAGGGTAAGTGCTAAAATGCTGCGTCATTTCAGTTGTTAGGACCTACCAATTTGTTTAGTCTAACAATCTAAAATTGTAATTTGTGAGATGTATCAGTGAACGAATGAAGTGATACCTGAAGAGGCCTCCAGTCGGTCCAACTTGCTGACCAGCCAGTCCAGGTTGTCACAGAACAGGGCGCAGTTAGAGCGGTTCCCCCTGATCAGAGAAGCTGTGCAGTGGAGGGAATGAGTTTACTTCATTCAGCATAAAAAGCATTTCATTTGTTGTTAAAACATATTGTAATTATCCTACCCAGCAGCTCATAAAGGAGATTGACGATCTCCTTCCAGGACTCTGCAGCTTCCTCCCCGGCAAACTCAGAAAAGTGGGCAGCAGTGTTGTACACGTTGAGGCGGTCGATGCACTCCAGCACGATGGTGATCATTCCCTAAGAAAAGGAACAGAAAGCATGTTTGTTTATATATGTATTTTGTAGCTGATGTTGTCGTTGGCAGCATTGTTGATTTAGGGTAAGGGATACAATTGGAGTTATTATCGAGGTTAATAAAAAAGGTTGGGGTTAGAAAAGACCCTTCACTTGGCATTATGTTAATTAGGGGACCTACAAAATGTACCGATAAAGCAAATGAGTTTAAGCTTGTCCACTTGGGTAAAGACTTGGTATTTCGGTTTAAAAGAAAGGGTTGCAGGTCAAATCAATCTATATATCTATGTGTAAGTAAAGCTAGCTAACGTTTGCTATTTCTATCTACCGAGTTAGCTAGCTTACCTTAGCTACCCAACAGCTAGCGAATGTTAGTTATCTAGCTAGCACTCACCAAATTCGTGGCTCTCGTAATTCAAACTGGAATTATTATTTACCATTTTGTTAGACTTGCAGTAAAAACCTGTGGCTACAGTTTAGGGAATGAGAGTTATTATAAAAATAGTGTTTAAATATATGTTTTTGGGATAAAGTAAACCCATATTGGTAATCGAAATAGACAAGTTTATCGCCTGAAAAACTGCATGAGGGCATAACAGTCCTCAATGGTGTCAAAAGTGCATGCTCCTCTTTGCATATACAATACATTTTCTGTTACAGAATCAGACAGTACAAATCAATAGATATGGAATGTCTGAGGGAGCTTCGCAGGCAGCATGCAGATTACCTCCTCTTGGAAGAGGTTCTGTCTGTTGCGGAGGGAGCGAAGTTTGGTCTGCTTCTCCTCGTGCTCCAGCTCCTCCTCGGGGGGGCAGAAGTAGAAGATGAGATCCTGAAGAGAGAGGATGACCCCCTCCAGAGGCAGAGACACGGCCCCTGGTGACTTGTTCTTCCCACCTAGAGCGTCCAAACCCCTGGAAAAACAAATCAGCAACAGATTTCAATATTTATTTTGCAAGTTTCAAGTCAAATGACAATGCTACAAACATACAACAAATAAATGATAGTATATTAAAGATGTCAGTGTCTGTTTTCACTGCATCCTCTCCTAAAAAATACCCTTTCAACTCCTTTACATTTGAACAGGTACACACGTACTTGTTGAACTGCCTGAAGAGGCCCACAGTGCTGAAAATCATGCGAGCAGCCTGAGACTCTTCAGTTTGGGAGCGGGACACAGTCAGGGCGTCGTCCATATGACCCTCCTGGTGCAGAATGACCTGGAGACATGGAACACATAGTTATATTTTGAGTGGTATCTCCAAGTTCTCTCTGTCCTTTTATGATGAGGTCTGTTTCTGGTGGCTGCCACTTAACAGCTGTACAAGGTGTTTATCTTTTCCTTTAGAAACTAGGAACGTTTTAGAGCTTTGGTTTTGGGCCCACTATCAGTATTATACATGTTATTTATCATTTTTCAATTATGTCATTCTGAAACACAAATAAATATCCAATTCAAACTCTTATGGTAACAAGTTGGTAGCATTGGCAACAATATGTATGTTTTTTCCCCTTTTTGGGATTTTCTAACCCTAACCCTAGAACACAGTGAACAACATACTCCGATATTTTATATGTTGCACTATTGTGGCATTTTTTTCCTTTTTTATGTCGAAATTATATTTGATCTTTCAATGTGTAGAGGCTGGGATTTTAGATTTGTATTGCCAACAACTACACTATAGATATTGTGCATATCAAAATGAAGCCTATGAATCTTCGATCCTTTAGTTATTAATTTTGCTCCCAAGATACAATCCTAACCTTTCTCTTCATCATTCCCAGACGAGCAGCTTTGGCATCCAGGGCGGCGTAGGTGAGCCACAGGCCAGTGGACACATGCTGGACGAAGCACATGGACTCTCCATACTTGATCTCAGGAATGCCCATCCCCTCAACATCTCTCTTCTGAGCCACCTCCACCTTGTCCTGCTCAGGGGGAAATCAGAGAGAGACGAAATCAATAAGAGATGGACAGAAAGCAAAGGCCAGAGTCCAGAGAGTCTCAGAATGTTTGTTCTGACCTTTGAAACTCTGAAGCAGAAGGCGGATAGTTTGGTGTTGGCCTTCTCTGGGTCGACCACCAAAAGAACCTTCTCCTCGTCCATACACAGGTACCGGCCTGTGGTGATGTGGCGAATACGGAAAGACTGCCCCCACTTCATGTGGCTGCCGCTCCAGCTGGATCACAACCACAATCACAATGCTTGACTTACTCTGGGGGGAATTGGGTTTAGTGATAGTTGCTCCATTTTAGAAAAGCTTCAAATTAAAATAATGAATAAAATATACAACATATAAAACATATAAATAGAATACAAATATTTAAATACAAATAAGTAAGAATAAGAAGAAAGAAACTGCAATAAAAACTATAATAATAAATAATATAAAAATATCAAAGTATTTATATAGACATAAGAAGTTAAAGGTCCCATGTCATGGCCATTTCCACTGATCATAGTTCCATTGTTGAGGTCTACTAGAATAGATTTACATTGTTCAATGTTCCAAACTCACATTGGTTTCTTATTCAGCATCTGTATAGTATGTGTATTCACTCTCTGTCCTACATGGCTTGTTGGAGCTCCTGCCCCCCCCCCCCTCCTCCCTATGAGCCCACTGTGCTCTGATTGGTCAGCTCGCCCACTCTGTTCTGATGAGTCTACCACCGTTACAGCTGAACATCAGTGATTATGTGTTACAATGGCGTTAGCAACCAGAAAATGACACCAGTAATGACAAACAGATGAGAATGCTGCGTGAGGTCTGGGTGCCGTGTTGGCGGGACGGTGCGCGGCTCGCTGCTGTGAGGAGCGGACAGTGTGAGCTGGGTTCATTTCCTGCTTGCTGCGTGGGATCTGCGAGACAGCGAGACATCGCGAATGGATGCGGGAAGGGGGGGGTGCTGAGGGGGCTGCAGCACCCCCATCTGCGAGGCTCCACTAGCACCCGCACCCCCAAACGCGGCGCACCTACAGTGTAAGCGCGCCACAGTTTCGCCGCTGCGAGGCTCCACTAGCACCCCCCCAGCGCGTCACAGTTTCGCCGCTGAGAGAGTGTGTGAGGAGCTCCATGGATTGGTCCATTTGGGTATGGGCACGTCACTGTACCCAGGAAGTAAACAATGGGAAAAGAGAAATCTCCAAGGAGGCGTTCTGAGGCAGCATAGACAGGTCTTTTCTGTCTTAGAGTTTTACTCGCTACAGGGTGTACTTTGAGGGTTTGTGACTCTGCAGAGCGTTTACATGCAGAACAACCTTCATAACACGCAAGGGGACGGGTAATAACCAGACATATCAGAAGCATGACATGGGACCTTTAAAGCAAAATGTCTAAAACGAGAAAATAGAATACAAATATTTAAATAAAACTATTTGAAATAACATATCCAATGGAAGAAAAAAGAAATTATGCATAACAAGTTAAAGAATATGTCCAATAAAATATTTAATTAAATTGAATAAAATAATATCTATTTAAACATTAGAAGTTAAAGTAGATATGAGAACAATGTACTACAATATTGAAACAAGTATATTATAATATACATGTCCTACCTTTATTTTTTATATGAAATATAAAAAATTAAGGCAAAATGCAAAAAAAGAGGAAGGAAACGTTTAAGTCAGAAGATATGCTAATAATGCTTATATTTATGATAGTTGAGTTTCAATAACTATATTATAACTATATTATTCAGGTGTTATTTCTCTTTAACAAAGTTTAGGACTATTTTACTAACAGATTACACACACTTTTGAAAATCACTGATTCTGATATTGTGATCTGTATATATACTTGTATGACTTTCTTTTCATTTTATGGTATTGTATTAGTATTTCAGCCCTATACATTACAATATAAATAGATATATAAATATACATATTTGCTTTTCTTTTTAATTATACTTGATTTTATTTTTGAAAGCTATACTTCATAAAGTTTGCATTTATTTCACCATAAGATTTTGTTTCCTGTACCCTGTCTGTATAAATTCAGTCTCTATTAATATTGAATTAGTTAAATAAATAGAAAATAAAATACTCTACACATTAGAGTTATCACTTTGAGATCAATTCTGTCAACAAGTGTATGTGGAACAAACCTTAACTTCTCATGTCAATGCATTGAAAGATTACCTGATTCTGAGAGGCTCCAACCTCCACAGGGACCGAGCCTGGCTGCACACTGCCCCCCCCTCATAATGAGCCATCCTGTATCAGGGTCAGGAGAGAGACGTGATCAGGAGTCAGACTGACAAGAGAGACTGCTGACTAAAAACATTGATCATCCTCTTCCTCACCTGCGCTTCTCTTCTCCTTCCTCTGGTGTAGCGATGGCCAGACACTCGTCCATGTGACCGTGGAACAGCCTGAGGACGTGACCTCCTGTCAGGAACCCTGGGAACAGGAACACACACAGTGAGGGTCTCTTTATGTTACGCTAAAGGAAGACCCTGCAGCTGAATAGGGTCAAACTTTCAAATAATACATTTCACCATGAAACTTCCCAAGTTAATTAATAACATTGAAGGGAACCTATTTTGCTAATTTCCAGATTCATATTAGTTTGCTTCTACTGTGACATGTCTCCACCTCTTTATTTTCCTCATACTGCCTGTGCTGCAGCACCTCTGTTCACCCTCTGTCTGAAACCAGAGCCCAGTCTGCTCTGATTGGTGAGCTGGCCGGCTCTGTTGTGATTGGTCAACTGCTTAGAGTTGTCCCGCCCCTTAGCCTATCACGTACAATGTGTTGGAGTGGTAGCCAATAGAAGTGTGGGTGTTGCATAGTGATGTCACTATGTTCCTAAAGTCAACAATGGAGTCAAATGGAGGTGTTTCAGGCAGGGAGCTGAGTGTGGGGGAGAGAAAACTCCCTCTGGAGCGAACACAGGGATTTTTGCCTTGTGTACAAGATGCACAATAGGCTGCACAGCATTGATATCTGTGTGTAGCAGGTTCATACCCTCAGCTAGTTCACAACCAGAAGTAATTGGATTCATGTTCCACAGAGTCTGCATGAAGGAGGCATCCACCATCAGATCTCCACTGGCGTAGGACAAGTGCTGAGGACAGGGGGCAAGATCTAAATTAGCACAAATGAAATGTCTAAATCTTCCATTGTGTAACAGCAAAGTATGTGAGGAGTCTTACCAGGTATCTCTCAGAGGAGACGCTGACGAGGATGAGGTCGTCTCCCACCCTGACCTTCTCACCTTCTGACCTTTGCTTAGAGGCGGGATGAATTGTCCACCAACAGGCCTCACCTGCAAGAAGAGCAAACAGCTAAGTTTCCCCTCAGAGGCGGAGACAGGCAACTGATGTGTTCACTTTACGGATATCAAACAGTGTTTCTGTTAGCAGTCTTTTACCGGACTTTGACCAAAACATCTATAGACACATTTTAATCTTCATAATGTGGGGGAAAAATATCCTCCTAAGCACAATTGTAAGTGTATTAAAAATAGGCAGAATAATTGAGTCAGGATCAGCTGCTCTTATAAATGCCACAAGCACACAACGAGAGGCCATCACCATAAAACGCTCCTGGAGTTTTATATATGAGGAATATTTGAATTTGCAGCTCGCAGAAAGGGCCGTACACCTGCCGTGTCTTTTTTAGGTCAAATCCAATATTGTGAATGTTCACGCTCCTATTGTTCAGGGTGAGTCCACTACAACTGTGCCCAGTAAAAATGTGTTACCTTTCAGATTTCTCTGAGCAGGAGACACAACAAACTTCTTTACAAAGACATGGAGGGTAATATAACACCAGGAAGTCATGTATTGTAAGAGTTAATAAACATGGTTTGGTGAAAAAGTATCAATATATCTAACTAGTGCTATTTATTGAATAATAATTGTGTATTTTCTTTTGCACATGGTCACATAGATTTACAACAGTGATTGTACAGCAACAAAGTGTCAAAGAGGCGATGATTCACACAAGTCTATTGACGGGACTTACTTACTCTTCAATAAAACATAAATCTACATGCTTTGATGATGTCATTCTTTATATAGCCTTCCTATCAATCCTTCAAGCTCAATAAGAAATACAGATAATATCTGACCGGAATTTCTATAATTTGTCCGGTACATAGAGTGGGCGAAGTCCCGCCCATCTACTTCCGATCCATGGGATCTTATTTCGGAAAAATAATGTATTGAAGTCAATGGGGAGAGAAAGATTATCTTTCGATCGCGTTTGAATTGTGCCACGAATTACACACATGATGTTTGTCAATCTTAAAAAATAATTTCCATGTCAAGAAAGTCACAGTTTGTCATAAAACTGTTGAAATATAAGACTATGAAAAATACACAACTAGAAAGACTACAAATCCCAGAATCCCGGTCCCGCATGCTGGCTCTTACGGAACCGACTAACTCCCCTTGTGTGTATGTACAGCTCTCAACGTGCCCAGACTTGGAGTGATTTTCACCTCTTTTAATACTTTTCGCCTCATTCTGAAAGAAAGAGGTGAAATGTTCCAACGTGACGGCCATCTTGGTGTTGGTGACGTGTGCGAGACCAGAGATGTAGTTCATTGAGCGGTTTCACACAAAATAAAGTGTTACTTCACAGTTTTACGACACATTTGTATTTTTTTGACTTGCAAAATGATCTTTTAAATTGACAAACATCATATGTGTAATTCGTGGCATAATTCAAACGCGATCGAAAGATAATCTTTCTCTCTCCATTGACTTCAATACATAATTTTTCCGAAATAAGGTCCCATGGAAGTCCACCGGAAGGGGAGGGACTTCGGCTCTCTATTGTAATCTGACCGGAAATGAAAGATCATGCCTGTTCACTTTCTGTATAACATACTGCTCCCTCACAGTAACAGTTACAATGTGTATATCTTTCTGATCCAAACTAAGAAGGGAAAGATATTCACTGCTAACTGAATTTATGCTAGTAGGTCATCCTTGCAAACTCAGCAGAATAACAAACACTAGTGAATAAAACAATTTAACAAGACTACTTAAGAGTTAACCACTTCCAATAATCAGCTACATGCAGGTTAAGGAAAGAGCATTCTGTTGGGTCTTTATAAAGGATTTCATTCAAACATGAAGTTTTACCCGTGGAATCTTCTTGCAAGCCCACATCAAAGGCCAGCTTGTCCGTGAGTGACCGAGACGTAGTCAAACAGCTCAGGTACTGGGGAGGAAGATCTTATTCAGGACATGAACACAACTTTCCCAAAATACTGACAGAAACATATGCAACCACAAAGGAAGTGGGAAGAGTGGTTTCTTATGTCTGGTGCAGCCTTACCATGCTTGAGTGGTAGTGTCTCAGGAGGATGGCATGGCCGTACAGTAAGGTGCGATGCCCCCCACCCTGGGACGACTGCAGGGGAGAAGATAGAGATATATTAAAGACCACACTAATCAATCAATCAATGTTTATTTATATAGCCCAATATCACAAATGTTACATTTGTCTCAGTGGACTTCACAGTTTATTTGTATTGTTTTACTAACTATACACTTTAGATATACCTTGATCACACAGGGAGGAAACAAAGATTTTAGAAGGGCCAAAGGATCAGGATATTAAGAGTCACTCCTTAGTATACCCTTTGGGGACCAATAAAACATATACTCTTGTGTTATCTTAGCGATGGAGACACAGAAAAGATTGGAATGGGACAGATAGGACATACTTGAATGTACACATGTATTTTAACATCCCTGAAAAGAACACTTGTGAGTCATTTGTGGATGATAAATGATTCATAATGATTAACATCACTCCACATACAGAACATGTTGGGGTCCATTCTATGCAAATACAAGACCATTACCACAAGAACCACATATATAGGAAAGTATCAAGAATCATAATTCTGCGAGAAGGTGTCACATCCAGCAAAGATGCAACAAGGAAACAGAATGACTGCAACAGTTACGGATGGATTAGCTAAAACATCCATTGACTCCAGCCAACAGGACGATAATGCTTAGCCCTGCTAGGGTTAAGCACCCATAATCCACCAGGGCGAGGTCAGGGCAGGTATGTCAAGTGGTCGCATTAAACCATTAGCCTTGGTTAGGACAGGTGCTGGTATGTGTGTGTTGTGTGTGTGATGAGAGAGAGAAAGGCCTGTCCAGAGCTCTGGGGGTGTCCGGTTTCCACATCCACCCCTTACAGAGGTGGGGGGGGCTCCCCTGGGCTGCATGCCATGCTATTCTCATCCTGGCTCATCCACATCTCCCTGCTCCTGGGAGGCCAAGAAACTAAACCAAACTTCCTACTATATTGAAACTAATGAAAACTTTCAAACAGAGAGACTGCGTTGTGTTCTATAAGCCGAAGCTAGGCATGGTTTCCTCAATGTGTCATCACAACACTGGCTAGCATGTACAATAGTACGCATAGCAAAGACTCCTAGAAGATGTGGTTAAATGTTAACAAAATGTTTGTTGTTTCATTTTGGTTTTAACTTATATTTTGTCTTGTTGTTATGACAAAATGCACATTAAGATTTTGTGTTTGGGATTTCCAAGGTTGAAGCCCCAGAAACTGGGCATCTACTTTTTATATTAAATTAGAGTTGTGCATCAAAACTCAATCAATTGAAGCGAGTTAAGCGAGTAACACTAAAAACCTAACATTCAGACTAGTTGGTCAATTGATACCTAGTTTGATGGATTTCTCTCCAATAATTGTTGAATGCTGAGGCAACAAAGCTTGCTTCCTGATTCAAAGGGACTTACATCTAACCTAGACTTCTGCATGGCTGCCAAAATATTACAATGATATCATATCACATACGTTCGGAAGAGGATTAGGGCCTCATGTCAATTATGTTTAAAGATCTGAGCAAAAGGGAAAAATGTTTGAGTTCTGTGATTAAAATCTAACTTTTTCTTCTGCAGAAAATCTCAGAATTCTAAGAAAAAAGGAATGGTACATTGTGACAATTAACATATCTTAACAGATCTGATACAGGTGTACCTTATAGAAAGAAGTACATCAAACAATGTTCAATAGAGCCTTTACACTACCTTTCAAACTGCAGATTCAGACAGTTTTAGTGAAATGTTTCAGTAAATCTTCTATAGTAATGATTCAAGGACTAAGTGGTTTAAAGGTTTTCATTAGAAGACAATGGATGTATTTACTAGGACCCCATCAGTTACTGTAGCTAGGAATGAATGACAGGTGTACAGAGCCATCACGTCTCAGAGTGAGGGCTAACAGATATGAATCAGGACGAGTGGATGACACAGCACTATGGAGGTAAACAGGACACCTAGTGTGTCAACAGGACGGGAACGAGGACGGTCACCACGTTACAGGAAGAAAGACGCGTACAGACATACCCATTGGTCCAAATCGACTGCCTGATTGGCAGAGGGCAAGAAGGGAAAGGTAATTGGAGGGGTGTCAGATAATAGGTACAATTCCTAATTATAAACAAAAGATAACTTGGGTTGCGGTCGAATATTATTTTTTGCTTAAGAAGGTTCCTGACAGAATGAAATGATGAAGTGTCATCAATGATAAGATCTGTTTGAATTCTAGATGATAGGAAAGGAGCTTCAATTCTTCTTTTATTATCTCATTTAGTATGAGATATGCTGAAGGAGATTTCCTTTTATTCAATGTCAATTAATAAGAGTGGACGGGGTAAGCGTGAGAAACCATTTAGTTTGACTTTACTTACTTTTTGTTTTAACACTAGAACCGCCAATCGGGTCAATTTGACCCAGAGCTGTTTTTTAATGTATGTAACTTTTTTTCAATAACATATTAAAGTCTCCCAGTCCGTGACTTTTCCTGAAAGTGTGTTATGTAGCACCCTCTGTTGTTAAAAATGGTCAATATGAAGTCAGATTGAAGAAATCGCCAAAAAATTGCAATTTATACCTATTTCCGCCCAGCGGGTCATATTGACCCCACCCCTTTTCGCGATATTGATTTCGCGTGTAAACAAACATGACGTGTTGCTATAGCAACGCCTTTTGTCTACTGCGGTTCCGTATAGATTGAGAGATAGATTGAGAGAGAGATAGATATATAGATATATTGATAGCAACAGTCTGTAGTGAAGGAGCGCGCTCCCGCTCACGGGAGACTGCTCGCGCTGCGCTCCGCAGCAAACAGCTGTTTGCTTTTCACCCAACAACGACAACCGCCTCATGAAATGAAACGCTATGTTGTAGCGTTAATAAACGAAACAATTTAACAAAATTGCTTGTCAAAATACCAATACCACAGGACCATTTTTATTTTTAAAGCAATATTTTTACCTTGAAAAGTAATGTATTCTAATACCGAGTCAATTTGACTCCGGTGCGGTTTTAGGTATACAAAATCTCTGGCGGTTCTAGTTCAAGCCTTGGTAATGAAGTGTTTTCCGCATTTATAAAGCATGCAGGAATCAATAGCTTAAGTAAGACAGAGTGCAACATATCTTATTGCGCTTTTAGTAGTCCTTCTACAGGACATTAACTAAACAGACAGGCCCGGTTCTACGGGGGTGCATAAGGGTGCATTGCACGCTCAGTTGAGTCGTTATGCACCCTCATTTGAAAAATGAAAAGTAAAAAAATAAATAATGGAAAGTGAAAAAAATGAAAAGTGAAAAATATCACATTTTGCCTACTATTACTAACAATAGTAGTAATAATAATAATAATAAGAAGAAGAAGAAGAAGAATATAGTTGAAATAAAATAAATTGTAATTGTGGTTGAATAGCATTGTCTGCTGCATTTATTTGATCAATTTAAACGGTAAGTAACATCATTATGTCAGGTGCGCGTGGACCTGTGCCGCTGCACATTCATCATCTGCAAGGTGCTTACACAGCAGGCAATGATGACATCAGAAAATGGTTAAAACAACCAGCCCTTATCGCCAGCAGTAACACTGCATCTACTGGAGGTAATAACAGTTCAGATCATGGGGACATTACAGCTACAACAACTGGCGCCATGCTCTTATAGGCTATGTGATAAGGGACTGGGAAGGCATAATCAAACAAAGAGCACATAGATCCATAGATCTCTTAATGTTGCTCTCAAAGTGCACCAGATTGATGGTTTTAACTTCAATATAAAAAAAAAAAATAGCACTTTACCACTGCACCCTCTCTAATCTCAGATGCACCCTGAGTCATTTTGTTCTGGAACCGGGCCTGAAACAGAGGCTCATCTGTATCCACCACTGGATCAAATATGTCGCCTAGTGTAAGTGCAGTCGGATTCTCAAAGCATCGCTGTTGTGTTTTCCTAATTCCTGTTGAATTCTCCTATCATCTTTCCTTAACCCTGTGCCGAGTAGGGATGGGTATAGTTTTAAATGTATCGATTCCGATTCCGGTTCTGCTTATCGATTCCGGTTCTTATTGATTCCCCGGTGGAATACAGGGCCTACCGCGTTTAGGAACCGTTAAGCAGAACCGTTAAGCAGAACCGAAATTGTGTATTTGTATGGGTACCCGGTACCCGGCATTTTCTTATCGGTTCTCATCTGGAACCGAGTTTCGGTTCCCAACCCTAGTGCCGACTCTCACATAGGTTAAGGAAAATAGCTTATGAGAAGACAATAGGAGCTGAATTCAACCATAGACTGCAGGATCTGGATCTACAGTATATACGTTTGATCTACAGTATATACATTGGATCTACAGTACTTTAGAGAGAAACAGCAGATTTGCATTGATGTTTCACGGCCGAATCTGTAATCCCTTTGGAAAATAAAATATAAAGGAAGGCTCCTTTGATGGAGTTTCCAGGTGTTGTGCTAAAGCTAGATACACACCTCTATTGGACACAAATAATCAATTCATTTTTCTATCTAACTCTAAGACAGAAAACATACATATTTCAAAAGAGTCTGTGAGAGTGAGAGGGACATGAGATATATGCAGTAGAATACATTGTAAAAATAACAGATGCATTTTTCATTTGTCAGAAATATAATAATATCTAATTATCATTCATGAGCTGAATTCCTCTAAAGCACCTGCTCGATTTCTTGCATTCCTTCAAAAAACAGGTCAAGTTTCTGTTCCTTTCCGGTATACTCCTCTAACCATTACTCATTTCCGTGTTCCTGTAGTTACCTCGGTCATCTCCACCCTGTTGGCCAGCATCTCCTGCAGAGCGCGCACCGACAGGGACTGCACCAGGACGAAGCTGCAGATGGCCAGGTCCGGGGGCACATTCTGGACCAAACAAGGGTACATACATGAAGGACAGACGAGTGAAAATCACAGGTTCATTCTTTGGTTCATCCCAAGTGTGTCATCTCCAGGGCTCAATTTTGTAGGGGAACCAAATTATGGAATGGCTTTTCCCAGCTGTCAAAACACTGTTCCGCTATAGAGAGGCGAAGTCCCGCCCATCTACTTCCGCCCCATGGGACCTTATTTCGGAAAAGTTATGTATTGAAGTCAATGGGGAGAGAAAGATTATCTTTCGATCCCGTTTGAATTGTGCCACGAATTACACATATGATGTTTGTCAATCTTAAAAAAATATTTCCATGTCAAAAAAGTCACAGTTTGTTGTAAAACTGTTGAAATATGAAAAAAAATATGCAACTAGAAAGACTACAAATCCCAGAGTCCCGGTCCTGCATGCTGGCTCTCACGGAACCGACTAACTCCCCTTGTGTGTATGTACAGCTCTCAACATGCCCAGGCTTGTAGAGATTTTCTCCTCTTTTAATAATTTCCGCCTCATTCTGAAAGAAAGAAGTGAAATGTTCCAACGTGACGGCCGTCTTGGTGTGTGGTGCGAGACGGGAGATGTAGTTCATTGAGTGTTTCACACAAAAGAAAGTGTTACTTCACAGTTTTACGACACATTTCTATTTTTTTGACTTGCAAAATGATCTTTTAAATTGACAAACATCATATGTGTAATTCGGGATTGAAAGATAATCTTTCTCTCGCCCTTGACTTCAATACATAATTTTTCCGAAATAAGGTCCCGTGGAGGTCCACCGGAAAGGGAGGGACTTCGCCTCTCTATAAAATGTTTCAAAAAACTACAAAAAACTGATTTGTCCTATGTATTTCATATTGAAGCATCAATTAAAAACTTTTGTTGTTGTATTGTCTGTTTTATTTCACTTATAATGACGTTACTATTGCTTAGGAGTCAATGCAAGTGTATAAACCAAAATCCCCCCCGTAGAACATATACTGTACTCATACACTTTTCAAAATCACATTTCCTTTCTTTCTTAACATTTCTTTGTTATTTATTTTTTGTTTTTGATATATGTTGACTTTTAGTTTGCTATCATCATTTCATTTCATTTTTGTATATTCATCTTTTCTTCTCTAAACTCTCTCTAATATTGAGAGTTCCAACAGTATCTAGGTGGAGGCTTCAGATAACCCTAACCCAGTGTGTAATCTGCCTCAGTTATCTGTTGTGCTAAATTGTCCCTGCGTCTCACCTGAGCGTTGGACGTGGTTTCCAGGAAGCAGAGGCGGTTCCCGAAGCCCTCGCAGGACAGACACAGCTTCACCTGCTGATCCTTCATGACGGAGGCCGTGCACTGCAGCACCACCTGGTCCTCCTGCAGCCCCAACACAAACACACACCTTTACACACCAGCCTTTCACTGTTAGGACACGTTAATTTATGACCTGTTACTGATTTCAACCACACACTTATTTCCCTTTGCTTTTTGCTGCTCTCCTTCCTGCCACGCTTGCTTTTTATATTTACGTACACATTGTTTTATTGCACTTTTTGAGTAAAACTGGCTTGGTTTGGCATTTGGTGCAGGCATTAAAATAAGTCCTTGCTGTAAGTACACTTAAAAAAAAGTAATCAATTAAAACACATGACATTATCCCATTTACTATAATCCATCAATCATTTGTATGACTGCTTATAGTTTTGCAAGCATGGTACAGCATGGTTCAATGTTTTGATGCATTATGTTTACTTGAATGTCCACACTATGAATATCAAATAGCAAACTGACGTTAGATTATTACAGTGAATGTTAAGTATGCATTCATTTATTATGTCATTATATGTTAACACTGTGGTACATTTTTAAATATATTTGAGAAGAACCTGATGCTGGATTACACAAATAATTCACGTCTCAAGTGTCTGCTAATTGATGTGCATATATTAAATGAGAAATAAAAAACAATAGGCGGTAGTGGGGTCAAGATACTGGTATAAAATAAAAAAAACATGACATGCTAACTTGTGGCTCAGGAGGACTAATAACATTTCAAAGTTTGAAACGTTATTAACTAGCAGGGCTGTATTCACAGGGGTCCCTTGACATTTCACTGCAAGAAACCTGAAGGAAAAGATCTATGGACAGTCTTCCCTTTACATACATGACCACTTTATGCCCAGGGTTCCGAGGGTTACTAAAAATATGTTCTTTGTTACGATAGCTAGTTAACTGTAAAACAACAGAACAAGGTGACCTTAGTAAAGAAGAACCCAAGATGTTTAGTATAAAAAATGTGTCATTTTAAATTATAGGATAGTCCTAAAAAATTGTAGTTTACAAATGCTGTTTTAGTTTAAGGTAGTATTTTTGTTTAATAAATCAGGTTTCCACCTTATGCATTCAAAAAATATATATTTAAAATTAAGACAAATTTAAGTAGGTCTAATTCTAATATATTGATCTGTATTTTAAAGTGTATTGTAACATTGTAATCCTGCTAGTAATCCTCATTTAAAAAAAATCATACCACTAATCTGATCTTTTTTGTATGTAACTGTAAGAGAATACAGTTACTTTTTCTTTTGTATCCTGATAATGTAATCCGTTACTCCCCAAGTCTGTTTATGACAGTCAAAGACAGTTGGGGGCAACTTTGAGCAGTTTGTTGCAAGTATTACAAATGTAGTACTCTTTCTGGTTACTCATATGGTATATTTAAATATTATTGTGTACTTCCTTAATGGTCTTGGAATTGTATATTGGATATGACTGGAAAGCTGAAACTCGAGTGGATTTATTAAGCCAAATGTATTAGGATGTTATTCCCCATAGTAGGCCTTTCACTGGAGTGAGAACATGTTCTTTCACATGGTCACTGTACAACAACCTTCAGATAGCTTTCCTATGTACAGTATATTGACAATATGGGAGTATCTAAGCAGATTCCAAAACAGAAACACTAGCCATCTAAAGGCTGAAACATGCAATTATTGCTAATACAAAAAGTTCCTCTCAGTTGGGGTTCCCACAATAGATACACACAACTCACATCCTCAAACCGAATGCTAACGGACAGTAATGTGTTGCTCCTCGTCAAAGCCAGGACCCTCCGGGGACCGGTGTAAATACAGCAATAAACACCCCCCCCCTCCCCCCGGTGGAACCGAGACCTGACACTCAACATTCCCAGCTGTTCATTCTCCTCTGTCCCTACCCAAGTGGATCCATCACTGAACCTGAAGACTTTTCCTCTCTACGGTTCGGGACATGTTCCTGACGGTTCACCGTTCTCACCTAACAGCGAATGGATCACACTATCTTCTCGATTTCGACCTGCCCGCTGTCCTGCCATAGCGGTGATGACTTATCGTGCCGTGGCCAGCGCAGGAGGGTGCATGTCTATGTTTGCGGCAGAAAAAGTGAAGTGAAGCAGATCAGTGAGCTCGTAACTCCTCTCTTAAACCCAGAGACCTCTAGGGTTTCTTTGGCGAAATAAAGTGTGCCCTCTTCCTTTGGCAGGGGTATCATATTTCTCCTCTCAGCCTTGAAATGTCTCCTCTGGCCTGTCCTCATGTTCCCTGTTTTACACCATGGAAAGTGGAGCATTGTGTCCTCTCTCCTTCACTGTAAACTCTACTTGCAAAAGAAACATGACTTTTGAGAGAAATCAGTACAGCGGTATTGTGCAAAAGAGAGATCAAGCTCTCAAATGTGTTACAAGTAAGTGGTGGAATGTATTTCCCACCTTCTTTGTATGGCAACAATACCTACCACTCACACAACTTCACTGCTTTTACTGGCTATATGCACTACGACAACACAAATCGTTGTTCATCAGGACAGAACATCAGTCTTTCTGAGACAAGGGATCGCTTCAGAGAAGTTGAAAGGTTGTAAAAAAAACCTGAGCAGTCCAGCGCTGAGCCAGAAGGGTATAATGGGCTAAAGTGGACATGTTTTGAGGACAGTGCCTCTGACTGCAGTCCCAGTTAAGGAGATAGGTCTGAGCGTGGGTGTCTAAAAGCAGACCGAAGTACCCGAGTGACTCACTGCTCTGACACAAGATGTGCGATCGGATGACAGTCGTAGACGATACTTGCACCAATGATTATACAGCAGTCCTCCCAGTGGCTCCCATCTTTATCTACAGACACAGCCTCACATGGCAGACTCCCTTCAATCACTCTTCATCTTAAGGCAGGATCAAAAAGCCAAAGGGGCCAGAAGGAGGGCCGTGAGAGATCAGGGTTCAAGTGCAGACACAGTCTCTTGGTCTTAATGTTGCGAAAAAAATATTTGTGTATTAATCTCACATGAAATAGTTAATGGACGACTGTGGCTCAGGGGGGAAACAGTCCTCTACCAATCATAGAGACAGGGCTTCAATACCCAATGCCTGCAGACAACAAAGTGTCCTTTTGTAAGATACTTAAACCAAAATTGCTTCCGGAGGCACGGATCTATGGTAGTGAAGTGTATGTAAGTCGCTTTGGATAAAAGTATCAGCTAAATGACATGAAAAGTAATCAAATCAATGTATCATATATACAAATCATTTGGTACACATGTTCTTGAAAGTGCAGTTAAGACATTTGTAATTTGGAGGTATATTAAATGGTAGCAAATGGCAAATCTTCAAGGTAAGTGACTGTGGAAAAGTAAATGGGAAGCCATCAATATAATACAATTTATTTATTTTATGGGTCTGGGGAGTGGATAGAATATTATTTTGTCAGAAACGTTATCTACTATTAGTCCTGTAATTCTTGTTAGTTTGTGAGTGTTCAACTTTTAATTGAAAACATTTGAGTTGAAGTCAAGAACTGTTGACAATATAGTCTTTATTAGTCATCAGATTATTGAACATCTCTAGTCTAACCAATAGATCAGATGGTTCCTTTCTCCTGAGCCCTGTAGATCCTCCCAACTGTGCTTATTGTGCGCTCAGTATAAAACACATCCAAAACAATTTGATAAATAACGTTTTATTTTAACTAAATATTAGACAATTTTACCAATATTTCATGTTGCTTACACGTCATAGTCTTGTCGTGTTGTACAAAGATATTAATTCATGGTTTTAGTTTTTGAAGTAAACACTGCTTTGGATTTAGTACAACAAATTATTATGAAGTAAAAATAGAAAGAAACCAACCCATCATTCCGAAAATTGAATCTGAAACTTGGTGAGTATTATATAGATAAACCAGTCAAGTACGATATCAAGCACAAGACCGACTACGAGAGTCTGGTTACTCTCCACCGTTTGTGTAGCAGATGAATATGTTAAAGTACTATGAAGTTATCTGGTCATTCTGACTGCGAAATATAATAGTTTTCTGTCATGTGCATCAGCAACTACAGAGCTGTGTCCTACCACCTGAATGTGAAAAGCTGATTTCAGAGCACACAAACCCTGGGGCTTAACTCACCCTGATATTAATAGATACAGTCTGAACTCAGTGCACCTGACCATATCTCCTGATTATCTGTTAATCTCACATGACTGTATCTGAGCAAACACAGGTAGGCTGTATTAAGTGAAAGCGACAAAGTGAAAGTTATCACCCCCCTGACCTCGTGATATTAAACCTGGGCCATGGGCAAAGACAAGTGCATGCCAAACATCTGATGGGGGGTGTAGGCTTACAGCCCACCCATGTTTGGACTTGGAGGCCGAAGCATCTGGGCTATGTGGATGTGTGGGGTCAGAGGGAGAGTTAGAGACAATGAGATGTATACATTGGATGACATACAAACATACACACACACTAGTGTGCGTGAATTGAGGTGTGTAATGCAGCGGAGCTTTACAGCCAGAAGCACAAATAGCGCCTGAAAGCAGACACCTTTGTGTATTCTCTGAGGGCCTTCTGCCGGTACGCATGCAGACAGAGGGTAGCCAGGGTTCCCCAGACAGGCAGGCACACTGCCCGCCCTGAACGAGAAGGGACCAAGCAAAACAGATGCAAAATGGTGAGAAATATCTGCTTTCTCTTTTCTGCTAATCTAAGAGGAAGCACAGGATGGGCAACGAGGCGAGGTTAGACAACTGTGAACATAGCTTCAGTTCATAATGGGGGGCAGATCATGTGTTGGACCCTGTGTCCACAAAGCGCCTTTGTTTGGCAGAAAGACGCTGATAGGGCACTTAGGATAGTCTCCACCCGGCATTTTCTGTTTGTTTCTACGACCACGATATCTCATCAACATATCACCCCTTTTATAAGACAGACTGGCCTTGCCCCCTGACCGGAAGGTGCTTGCTTTCACACTTTGTATGATTGGGTTTCACTGCTCAGCCGTAAAGCACAGAAGACAATCTGTGTATGGCGATGTATAACAATCACCAGCAGCAACATTTAGTTTCCACT